TATTAAAAATCTCCTTCAATAAAAAGGCACTCTTTCAATTAATTTCCAAAACTCAAAAAAGTTTGAAAAACCAAAATCAAAGTTTTGAGAGAATATTAGAACTAAATGAAAAAAACTCCAAAAAACAAATGCCAAAACAAATCAAAAACCTCCTCACCCCTCTTATCCTCCTCACCCCTCTTAATTATTTAAATAATTTAAAGACTTACACGTCGAATAAAAAATTTTATATGTTAGATAGAGAAAGAGAAAAAAATTTTAATTGATTAATCAATCAATTGATTTTGAGGGGTAATGGAGGGGGGGGGTGAGGTGGAGAGGAGAGGGAGAGAGGTTGAGGGAATTTTTTATTTTAGCGATTTTATATAGCCAGTAATTTGTTTATATTTTTTAAATAAAATTTAATAATATTTGGGGAGTTTTCAGTTTTGTTTATAACAAATAAAGTCAAATCTCGTTATACTCCCATAAATATTCTACAACTTAGTTATGTTTAAAGTGGCCATTGGTTAAAGGAAAAAAGGGGTTTTGGGGAGGAGGGAGAGGGAGGGTGAGGAGGAGGGAGGGTGTCTAAACGATACATCCTCTTTAGCGGAGATATCGTAATTTCAAGGTCTCGGAGAGATTTGGTTATAGTTTTTTAAATTCTCCCCAATAAAAAGACCTTTCGTCAAAAAACTTCCTCTGTTTTCCTGTTAAAGGAGTTTTCAACAAAATATAATTTTTTAGAAACAAAAATGACGTTGAATAATCAACGTCTAACTATTTTATTTAAGTTTTTGCTATTTGCGATTTTGTTGAGTTGCCAATTTGTGGAAATTGAAATGGGTGGTCGTAAGTTTATTTTTTTAATTTTTAAAAATAATTTATTCAAGCAACAACTCAACTAGTAAGAACGGCTCTAAGAGCCGCTAAGACGGCTATTAAGCCTAATACGATTAGCAAAGTTGCTGGAAATGTTGAAAAAATGGGAGCAGAGGCTGTAGAGACGAAATTATTGCCACATCAAAAACCTAAGGCCCCAACTACCAAGTAAAGATTTTATATGAAATAAGCTTTTGTTCTACAACACTCCTAGTAAATGTCACAGTGAAGGGCAGAAATTTTTTTGTATATTCTTAGTAGCCCTTATAGACTAATTAATTAGTCTCTCCTGCGAGAGTTTAAGAGTCTAATTTAGCTGGAAAGGACTTTAAATGGGCCTCAAATAAATATAGTTGAATATATCAGAGAAAGGAATAAGTTCCCATTTCCGCATTTGTTTCCAATGGATAATCTGAAAATTTTAAAAAAAAAGGAAAAATGGGAGCCTAAACTGAAATACTTCAATAAATAAAATAAAAAATTAAAAGGCCCAACAGCCATCCTTCAACACCTTCACAAATTCACCCACCAAAACAGCAACAAATACATAAATTTGAACACCCTAATCGTCCTCATTTTGAACATCAACAAAGATTTGCTCATAGTATCAATTTCCAAGGCATATCTTCACATGTTTCACCGTCTATATCCTCAGCAAGAGTAAAATTTAATATTCTTAGTAAAATTTAATAATTAAATACTTTAACTTAAATTTAAGCCAAAGAATTTTTCTGTTAAATTCTGTAGCACGTCCTGATCCCTGCACATATTTTAACTTTATCCCGAAACTCTCGTCCTTAAACTATGAGAAAACCTGATACTCCGACATAACCCTTTGTGTTTGGCATGCAACTCTAACTCTAATTGAAGCTCTAATTTGGTGGTTTTTTCTTCAAGGACTTCTTCTCTAACTATGTCTAGAATTGAAATTACAGGAATCGGGGCAGCATTTTTCTGTTAAATATTTGATATCTCGTACAGACTATCAAGAATATATTCTAAAGAGATATTTATACATACAGTTAAAGAGTTCCCTATTAAAACAACCCTAAATTAAACCGAAGTTTGAAGGGGGATATAGTAGTAAATAAATAAAAATTCTTTAGACTTTAATACATATTTAAATAAATATTTTAGGGAATAGGAGACTTACTTGTTGATTCAAATATACAAGGAAGAGTCAATCATAGTAATATTGTAGTTCAAAGAATTGGCCACAAGTTAATGGAAAAAGCCCCAAAAACAATTAAAGAGTTTGTTTCTAAAATGGTTGAAAAGGTTGCACGAGTAAATGAAAAACAAGTTGAAAATCTTATAGAAAAAGCAAAAAATACAATAGATAATGTGGATAAGGTAAAGTTTGGATTTAAAGAGTCATCGAATTATTCTGTTAACCGAAATCGAAAAATCCGAACCAAAAAAGTCTATCGGTTCGGCTCTGTTTGAAACAGACAATCCTAATCTGAGCTGAAGACAGGACTAGAAGTGGCAATATTTCGAAAAATCTCAATCTCTATAACTAAAATTTATTGTTCGAGAGTTTGGATGGAGAAAATCAAACCCGACAAAAATTCGATGTTTTAATTGAAAATATCCCGGTATTCAAAACTTATCGGCATTGCGTCGGCGGCTATTGAGATGGTACTCGGCACGCCTACATAGATTTTTAATCTCTCTCAATCCCACAATGCTTAGCCGATAAAATATTTTTTTGCACACAAAAAAATGTGTAAAATTTTCTATTTTTTTATTTTTTAAATAATAAATAAATAAATAATTTATTTAAATATTTTCCTCTCTTTTTAAAGTTTCAATCCAGTTTGAATAACAAACCTACCAAAAACCAAAAAATCAGCACGGCAGAAGATTTGTTGAATGCTGTATCCAACAAACGTAAAGAAAAGAAAAATTATGATGACGATTTGTGGGTAAATGAAAATGACAAAAAAATGAAAGAGAAAGCTTCGGGATTAATTGAAAAAGTTTATGGGGAAATTGGCAAATCTGGTTTAAAATTGGAAAAAGAAGTTTTGAAAAATTTTCTTTAAATAAATAGGGGGAGAGGAGGGGGAGAGGAATAAAAGGAGAGAGAAAATACTCATTCTTAGATAACTCCAAAAATAACAAAAACCTCTATTAGACAATACTCCTTTTTAAATACCCCAGCAATATCCCCAAACTAATATACCCCTCATTGTTAGTTTTTTTCAACCTCAAGGGGTATAAGGTTTATTTCTCCAAAAATATCCTTTTTATTTTCCCAGATTGACTCAGATGTTTCCAACTCAATTCTTAAAATTCTTAAAAAACAAGGAAATGAAGGGGAAATGACAAAAGATGAAATTGAAAAAATCTTTAAATTATTTGAAGATATGGGTTTCGACGAGAAACAAAAGAATGCACTTGGAAGTATTAAGACGATTTTTGAAGTTTTTTTGGATAATGCTAAGAAAGAATGAGAAGAAAATTTTTGTTTGGTTTGGAGTTTTTAAGTTGTAAATTCTATGAATTTACATAAAAGAAAGTGAAGAAGATACACTCAACTCTCATTAGTAGAGGCCCTCCTTAATATAGACTCCTGTTATTAGCGACTCTCATTATAAGCGACTCTCAATAAAAGCGACTCTCAACATAAGCGACTCTCCTTAATAACGACTCTCAGTATAAGCGACTGATTTTTTTTAAAATTCTAACAATAATTATAGTCACAATGATTTTCAAAAAGTTATCCATTTTGATTAATAGGGGGAGGGGTGTATTGCGGGAAATTTGCTTTAAAACAAGGGAAATTTCAACGATATCATTTTAAAAAATGCCGAGTCCTTATTTATGTCAATACTAGTGAGGGTTGATTAAACATGTTTGCTTTTCAAAAAAATTATTTATTTATCCTTTTTTTTTAAATTATATACCTTTTACATATGTAGATTTACCTCGTGTTGATAAAATTTTGGGAAAAAACAAATATTAGCTAAGAGTATTTATAAAATTTAGTTTTTCTAAAGTAACCATTCCTAACTTTTTAAAATTTATAGTAAATAAATTTTTTGTAAACAAATTATAAAAAATCTAATATTCTTCTTAAAAAGCCCTCAAAACTTGTCTATAACAAAATTGTAAAAAAATAAAAATCCCCCAAAAGACTTATACACTTTGACTGGCCAGAACTCGTCCCAAAGTCATTTTACAAGAAAACGGAAATAACTTCGCAAAAGGAACTTGTAGATCTTCTATCGAAGTTTATCAAAAGACCTCGCTTAGTTTAAGCCCTTAGGGCAGAAAATATCGTAGAGAAATTTGTGATTGGGGGTGTTAAGTGAATAATTCTAGAATAATACCTAATCTTTTTTAATATTTTAACTAAAATCCCTACAAATATATTTCCCTTTCCTCTCATTATTTATTCAACCTCTATTTTCTGCCTACTTTTATGGACCCCGAAACTCATTTTCAACGTTAATATTAATTCTTTTCATTCCAACTTTTTTTAAATTATAAAATTTAATTAAATTTAATTTATTTAAAAATTTAAAAAAATCGATCAATTGTGTATTTATTTAAAGGGCAAAAAAATTTTTTGTCCTTTAAAATTTTTATAAAATTTTTTTCTGTTTATTTGTTAAATAAAAAAATTTTTTTATTAAATTCTTGGCGAGGGAAAAAATTGATTGAAGGCGGAAAGGCATTGGGGAAGTGTGTGGCATTGATTGATTGAGAAATAAAATATTGGGAGGGGAGGGGGGAGGGAGGGCTAGGTTTTTGTTTAAGGAATTTAAAGGCAAATATATGTACATAGACATTTATTTTAAATGTTTAATTTAAAATTTTAAAAATTAAAATAAAATATATTGTTGAATTTACATATGAGTCCCAAAAAGTTGTTATTGGATTTTTTTTGGGTTTCAAAGTTGGGGATTTATTAAAGTTATTTTTTGTGTTCGGGACCTAGTATGTATGTACAATTTGATGGCTGTCATTTGTAGCTAGTTTTGGATAGTTTCTGAAATTTTGAGGAATTTATTAAAAATTGGAATTGTTACAAATTATGATTCCAATCTTAATTATAAATTTCTGGTCCTTTAATTTTTGTTAAAAAAATTTTTTTTTTGAATAAACTTTTTTAGTTTTTTACAAAAATGACGTTGAATAATCAACGTTTATTAATTTTATTTAAATTCCCTTTAATTTTGATTTTGTTGAGTTGCCAATTTGTGGAAATTGAAATGAGTGTTGGTAGGCTTGTTGTTTTTAAAAATAATTTAAAAATTCATTTATTAAGCATTTACGAGACAGGCAACAAGAATTGCAACAGAAATAGTAGGGGGAGGAGTTGTCAAAGCTTCAAAAAATTTAGGAGGAGAGAATTTAAGAGAGATTTCACATCAATTTAAACATTCTGGAAATTTTGGAAAACATATAGTAGCAGAGACGGGAGAAAATGCATTTTTGAAGACTAAACACTCTTTCAAGTAAATAAAAGGAGTGTTACTATTCTGTTTTTATTCTTCGCTATTTTTAAAATAATATTTTCAAAATTTGGGCCTAAACTTTACAACATACTAATTTTTAAAATAAATTCAGAAAATTCTGGGCAGGGCATCGATCCTGTAACCTCTCTACAGTTATTTATAGGTGCTTTTACTCAACATATATAAAAATTATTGAAGGAGTTACCAGAGGCGTAGCTCTCACTTTTTCTTCTAATAAATCTTAAACCCCCCCCCCCCTCCTCCCCCCAGTTTTAAATGCTTTCCAGTTGGATTCCCTTCTTTAAAATATTAAATCAAAATTTTTTCTAAAATTATTTAGAAGCCCAATGCCACATCCTGAAAAACATTGGACTAACAAGTTAATAGATTTTAAACGTCTATATAGTCATGGACTACAGTCACCAACATTTTTATTTTCTCCAAAGGTGTTTAGAAAGAAAATTTTCTTTTTTTTTTAATTTTTAAAATTTAATAGGGAAAAGTATTTAATTATTCAACACCAGGCGAATTATTCGATAAAATTAAAACCAAAAAAGAAAAATCTAAGGAAATGTTAAAACAAATTTTAGACTATATTTTTACAGTGGAAGATAAAAAAGTTGAAAAATTATTTAAAAAACTTAACAAAATAAGAAAAAATTATAACACGGTAATAAATGGGGGGAATGGAGGGGGGTGGAAAGCGTATTCAAATTTTTTAAATTCTTTTCTGTTTCCATTCTCGGAGTGATCACCCCCTTCCTTTGCAAATCATTTCAAAACAAAATTAGAGTGTATAATAATTAAGGTTGTCAATTTAGAACCGAAGATATTTCAGTTCCGTTCTTCGGTTTAGTAAAGAATATCCTAAGATTTTCCAGGAACTGACAATTCTTTTAGTATTCATATAGTTGAGGCGGACTGGGAAGGTCGTACTGGGAGGGTCGTCTCAATTAAAGAATTTGAGAATTTCTATTAATTATTAAATATATAAAGATTATATAAAGTGTGTAATATGTCTGATAATTTATTAAAAAAATATTTTTTAAAAAGCTCGAGAAATATGCAAAAAATGCTTCAAACTTGGAAGAAGCAAAAAAATTAATTGTCAAACCAAAAGATTTTTGGAAAGATGGAGAAGATGAAGAGAATCCTTTTGCTGAATTATTTGAGAGAGTTACCAAATCAAAATTAAATATTGGAGAGGTTTTGTTGAGGGTTTTTGTTAAATTTGGGTGATTGGGGGAATTAGAAGGAATTGGGGAAAATAAAATTTTGGTTACTGACCCAAAATCCGCATTAAATTTCTGGAAGTCGCAAAAATCTCCCATTGAGTGGAGGTGAATCTAGTTTTGAAAACGAGAAGAGAGACTTTAAACATTAGGGAAGAAAATGAGTCTTTTTGGAGAAAATTTAAACGATTAAAGATAAACATTGTGTGAGGGGGGATGGGGGGGGATAGTCAAATCAAGCTAGAACAAATGGAATAAGTTAAAGCAACGTTGGAGATGATGTCGTAATAGAGAGATTTCAATGTCTTTTTTTCTTTTTTTAATCAAAAATAGCCCAGCCTTTTATTCAGAAAATCAAAAAAAACTTTTTTTTAATTTTGAGATGGATCCAGAAATTGTTGAAAAAATCAATCAAATTTTAAAAGATGAAGGTATATTGGTTGAAGATAAAATTGAAAAAATTTCTGAAATTCTTGATGAAATGAACGATAATGGAAAGGATTTTGTTGAAGAAGAATATTGAAGGAAAAAGAAAAGGCAAAAGGAGACAAAAAAGCATTTTTTGAGTTTGTAAGAGTGTATTTATTTTGCTTCGATTTTATTCCGTTTTTTAAATTCCTACCGATTTATGAGTTATTTGAGAAAGGAAAGGAAGGAAAGGAGAGGGGGATTAAACTGAAAATTACCTTTTACTTTTTGAGAACCCCTCTTTACCCCCACACTTTTACAATAGTTGAAAAGCCCTCAACAATTCCTTTATTCCTCATTTTTTGATATTCCAACCTCAAATTTTTTAAACTTTGATTTTATCCTTTTTATTATTTTAATTTTTTTAAGTTTATATTTAAAATTTTGAGCTTCACCCATTTATTAGTCCCTGCTTTTTTTTAAATATTTTTAACATTGTCGTTTATGTTGCAAGCATAAAGAAGATACTTTTTTTAAAAAAAAAATGTGGAAATATTTTTTTATGTATATTTTTTAGTTTGTAGTATATTTTGTTTAAGTTTGTTATTAATTTATTTTGGGAAAATTAAATTTAGACAATATATAATTTAAATTATTTATTAACTCTTAAATTCTTTTTGTTTTCATATAAATTTCCTCATTAAATTATTTTATGGTTTCTGAAGCCTATATTCTACAGAAAGACTTAAATTAAACCAAATTTGGCGATATATGGTTAAAATTCGTATTCCTAAAAGCTTCCTTTTAAAGACCTTCCAAAGTATTGTCCAAAAATTAAAAGGCAATAAACACAAAATGTTTTTTTAAATTAATACAGAAAAATTTATTAATTGGTATTGGTAGATTAGGTATATTTTTTAAATAAATAATTATAATTTTGTAACATTCATTATTTAAATTATATTTTTTTAATTTTTTATAATTAATTAAAGAACGAAAATTAATTAAAGAATTAATAAATAAATTGTTAAAACACCCAAAAATAAAATTAAAATATTTAATAAAAATTTAAAGAAAATATAAACAATTATGGAGCAAAAAAATTATATTTTAATCTCAATCCAAATTATGTATTTTTTAAATATTTTTGTTTCTATTTGTATTAGATGTTTCATACATATAGTGTTGGACACGAGACAAGTTTCAAAACCGAAAGTTTTTGTTTCCTAAAAGCATTGTATTTTATTTCTCCCCTAATTTTAATTAATTTTACCCCAAATTTTTTAAAAATTATCAAAATAAAATTGGTAGTTGACTAATATAATACTAATCAGATTATCAGTTAACCGGTTGTCTCCCATCCCAGTTTCATACATCTATAGTATAGTCCGACTGTAACTTTTTCCTTAAACATTTTAGAAGGTATTTTGTCTTTTTTGGAGAATCCTATAATAGATATATTCCCGATATTGTTTAATCAACATATTTTTTAAATTCAGCACTTTTTAAATTCTTCTCCATCATTTATTCTGATCAAAATTAGTCTGCAGAAGCCCTCTTAAAAACTTTTATTTAAAAAAATTTTAAAAGATTTTAATTGCCAATTTTTTATTTCTCCTCTAATTTTAATTGATTTTTATTATTGTTTATTAATTTATTTTTTTATATGCCCAAGCATGAGGGATAAACGCGCAAAAATTTGGCCGGTGTAGAGGGGAGGAGGGGAGGAGGGGTGGGGGAGAAGGAGGATGAGGAGGGGGAATACACGCATCTTTTTGGGATTTTGGCCAATAATTTAGCTATCTTATTAATTTTAAAAATATTTTTATATAAATTTTTATAAAAAAATTTTTTTATATTTTTTCTAAATTAAATTACTTTTTTATATTTCCTATAAAAAAGAGGTTTGGAAGTTGTCTTGTAAGGGAGATAATAGCTAGCAAATTCAAGTTCAATTTATTATACATAGGGGAATTGGTTGTAATAATTAATATATTTTTAAAGAATTCAAACAAATTTTTTTTTATTTTTTAGAAGTAACAAAACCAAAAAATGTCCCTGAAATCCTATTATTTCTCCAATTTGTTCAAAATTACTTTAGTTGTGGTAATTTTGAGTTATTTATATGTGGAAATTGAAATTAAGTGTTTTTTAATATTTTTATTTATTTAAAAAAAATTTTAGGTTCTCCAAGTGCTGTTGTTAAGGGTGTTATTGAAGCTGTCCAACGAGCCCCAAAACCTCGTATAAGATTAACAGCCACTACAAAAAATGTGTAAGTTTTTATAAATCAAAAACTGATGCGTAAAACCCCCCAATAAACGTTTAAATCCGGCTGTATTCTATTTTATAGAAAGAAACTGGGCTACAATGATTCCGCTGTATTTATAACGAAATACATATAATAAATTTAAAAATAATTTTTAGTGGGGAGAAGCAGAAGCCTGGTAATTATTTACGGGAGAATTCACCAACTGAAGGTTGGGAACCGACACACCCAGAACCTGGAAAAATGGTGAAAATTCAAAAATAAAATTTGAATTTTAAAGAAAAAGAAGGAAAAAATTAGAGAAGAAAAGAGTAAAGAAAAACATTGGAAATTGACATTTTCAGATTATTTAAAAACATTTGTTCGTAAACAATTTTATTTTCAACAAATTATTCCTTCGTTAAATTGTCCCAAAAATTTAAACATTCCGTTTATTTATTCCCTCAAAACAAATTTTATATTAAAACAAACATTGTCATTAACCATAAACATCGATAAAAAATTGAAAACATTTTTCGTTTCAAGTAGAAAAACATTTTATTTAAAACTTGTTTGGATTATTAAAACATTGAACAAAACAAGTTTGGTTTGTTCAAACAAGTTTAAAGGTGTTTAAAACTTTAAATGTTTAAAACTTGTTGCAATTATTAAAACTAAGTTTGAGCTGTTTTTAAAACTTGTCTGAACAAAACATTGAACAAATTATTCAAACACTAAACAAAACAAGTTTTAATTTTATCAAAACTTTTCTGAACAAGTTGCAATGCAATAAATAAAAATGTTTGTCTCAACAAACTTTTCTTAAAAACAACCTTAAAAACATAAAATATCTAATAAACAACATTAAAACAATGTTTTTTCTAATGTTTTGCTCTCTTCTGATTTTTTATTTTTCCCTTCATTATTCTTTTATTATTTTTCTTTCCTTTTATATTTTTATTATTTCCTTTCTTTCTCTTAATTCCACGCAATTTAGTATTTTCTTCAAAATTTAAAAAATCTTCCTTTTTCTTTTCTTTTAATTCTTCTCTTTTTTTCTTCAATGTTTTATAATTAATTGAGGGATTCCGGGCTGGTTTGCCTCCCAATTTTTGAATTAAACGTTGCTGTGCAGTTAATTTCTCGTCACGATCGGCAATGCTTGAAGCGACAAAACGCTCAATCTTTAAAAAAATTTAAATATCCCTTTTAATTAAAGGAAATTCCTTCAAATACCTCAAAAGTAACACGTTTTGGATTGATGTCCAAACTGTTATTTTTCTTCAAAATTCCTGTTGACTTCTTTTCTTGAATTACTAAACTATTCTCTTCTGTTCGTTTATTTCCAACTCTATCTTTCACAATTATTTCATCATCGCTTTCAATTCTAAAAATATATTATTAATTTTTAAATATTTTTCTATCTGCAACTAAAGTCAACAAAAATAAGTCAGTTCATCAGGCCCATAGCCAGGGGGTAGGAGGGAACCCCCCCCCCCATCCGAAAAAATCCTGGCTACGAGTCTGCAGGTCATTATTATGTATAGGAGTTTAAATCCTTTCACCGAAATAAAGAGTATCAAATACTTCGTGAGGCTATAAACGCATCTTCCAAACATTTCTAGTTCAAAATATCCCACAAATTTTTAATCTATCCAACCCTGTCATAATCCGAGAAAGGACAGAAATTCCAATAAATCCCCCCATTTATACCTCAACGGCAAAAAGTCATCCGCAACATCTTTTATTTGAAAATTAAATGATTGAGGCATTTCTTCCTCTTCCTCCTCCCCATCATTACTTTCTTCATAATCATCCCTCAATTCCTCCTTATAACTTTCTCCCATCTTTGTCACCTCTTCAATAAAATTTTTCATCAAAGTCTGAAAAGGTTGTGTTGGTCCAGCATTAAAAAATAATTCATCATCTGGTACACACCCCCAATCATCCTCTGGGCAACTTGAATTCATTTTCTAGAGAATTTGAAATTTCAGAAAAAAAATTAAAAGAAAAATAAAATTTGCTCAGAATTTTACTAATTTCTAAAAAAATATTTTAAAATATTTTATATTTATAAAATTTTAAATACAAACGACGTGAAAATTAAGAAATTTAAAAATAAAAACATCACCAATAAGCTTTTTTTTTAAGATAATCCCAAAACTAGATAGTAATTAAAATGTGTTAAAGAAAAAATAGAAGTGGCCAAACCCTTTAGAAATTTTTTTTTTAAAATTTTTGTATTTTTTACTAGGGTTGGACATAACCGGTTATTAACTAGTACATCCGGTTTTCGGTTTTTTAGACAAATACCGGTTTTATTTTGGGGGATTTAAAATAAAACCACGCCTTTTCACAAATTTCCGGGTTTTAAATTTTCTAAAAGCGGTTAATTTTTGGGGAAAAAATATCAAAAATTCCTGTCGTGCTTTAATACAGGTCGTGTCCACCCCCAATTTTTGCAATGACGATATATAGAACGATTCTATTTATTTCTTCCAAACTTTTGGCCACCTCTAAAGAATTTTTATATTTACATAAGAGAATATATGGGATTCTTTTGAGAAAAAAAAAGTTGACTTTGTATATATTTTTAAACTCGAGGGACTCCATCAGAACAATTATTTGTCAAATCCTTTGGAGACGAATAAGTAACATAAAGTTGTGTTGCAAATATAACTCCATCATCACGTGCCAAAAGTAAAGGAAATTCAAGCAAAAAATCATTTTGACATCCTACATTAAATTTTTGAGCAGAAGTGGAAGAGGGGGAAGAAAGAGAATCTTGAGTAGCTATTACTGGAGAAGATTGTTGTCTAACACCAATAACAAAATCAACACCCTCTTCTTTATTTAATGCCAATAATGATGGAAGTGCAAAACGTATTAATTCTTTATTGCTAAAAAATTTAAAAAAATTATTGGTTAAAAGGATGTTGTTTGAGGGTGGACAAAAAAAAGCTATGTTAAGTAAAAAGTGGAGGTGATGTGTGAAAAGATAACCAAAACGAGAAAGATATATGTTACAAGAATGACAGGAAATTTTTTTCTAAATTCTAAAAAACGAGGCATAATTCTTCCTATCTAATTAATAAGTAGTTCTTGGTTAAAAACTAGTTCTAAAAATTTAAAATTTTAAATTCTGGCCCAAATACAAATCTAAACCTTGGAAAAACAATTTTAAAAAATTTACACTAAAAATGTCTGGACAGGAGTAGAACCAATCCAAACTTGAAGATTAGGGTAGAAATTCTGCCCCAACAATTCAACATAAGCAATTGAAGGGACTGTATCACTCGCATGCATTTCGAGGAAATTGACTATAGGAACAGGAGAAATCTTTAAAAAAATTTTCAAAAATATTCGTTAAAATTCTAAAAAACCTCAGTCGGTGTAGGACCTAATGCTTCATAAAATCTATAATGCATTGTGTCTGTTGATATAATAGTCCATTGAGCACCGTCCTTGAAAACTACACGACCGTCTTTTTCGATACTCAAAGCCTTAAAAAATTTTTTTCTTTATTTAAAAAAGGAAAATTTTGTTCTTACATCCTGTTGGAATATCTGATCATTTGTAAAGCACATAAACAATTTTTCGTTACTCAACATTTGAAAGGCACATTTGTGTAATTGACTAACTTGTTCATTTGCACTTTCTCTTTCACTTACCAAATCTTGTTTATCTACTTTACAGATTTTCTGAAAATTAAACAAATATCAAAAAAAAAGGGAAAATAAATGGAATTTTCTTAGACTTTTGAACAAAAATAAAAGAGGGAAAGATAAAAAATTAAATCAAAAATCCCTTTAAACTCCCCCTAGTCTGATTTAAAAAAATTTGTAAATTAAATTTATACCATCATTGGGAGTGCAAGACCAGTCACACTATCCACTAATTTAACAATAGACCCATAATTAATAAATCCATCCTTCACTGCAAAATCATCAGAATAAGGGTCAAAATGTTCGTCTTCGGGTAAATCAACTTTTTTAAAAATTAATTTATACAAATTTTAATTAAAAAACAGTACTTAAATGAATTGTAAAAGAACCCCAAAATTTGGAATGTGCAACAAATTTTCCATCTTTTACAAATAAATAGCGAGTATTTGTTGTTTGAGAACGAACACGGCTGAAGAGGGCGATCTTAAAAATTAAAACCATGCAGTCTAAAATTACTAAATTTTCTAGACTATCGTTAATTGATTGAATCTTAAATCAGTCTAACAAGGGAACATTCCAAATTGTATGTAGAAATTTCGAAAACTTTGAAGCCCTATAACTTTTCGAAATAGGCGTCAGAAGAAAAAGCCAAAATCCTACTCTACACGATGGTGCAAAAAAAAATTTCGAAATTTTTACATATAATAAGGAATGTATCTTTGTAAAATATAAACAACTTTTTTAACATTAATTCGACTATAAGGATTCAATTTCAAACTCCGAACAGCCACCTAATCCAAAATGTTAATCAATTCGAATCCAAACCTCAGTTCCACTAGCAATATTAATTCCTTGGTTTTTAATATCCGATTGTTTTGAATTATTATGAGAATTTGCAGAGAGTGTAATATTTTTCTTTTTTGAAGGTTTTGAAATAACTTTAATTCTTTTAGATTCAAATTTTCCAAGTAATTGACCAGATTTGTAAAAACAATGAACAGACAGAGTAAAATATTTTCGACGATTATTGTCATTCTCGCTGATATGTAATGCTTTTATGGCACACTAGAAAATAGAAAAATAATTAATAAATGAATTTTTTAAATTTCATGTCAGAAAAATTTTTGTCCGCAAATTTTTTGCGGACAAATTCAATTTTGCGGACTTTCCTAAAAAATTCAAGAAAATCTGATCCCTAAAATTCTCAAAAAATTTTTAAATTACAACCCTGCCGCAGGAATCCTTTTGCCATTCAAGTGCATGCCGATCTTGGTCCTTGGCACCAACAATTCCAATAAACGCCCTTGGCTCTTCATAGTCATAATCTGTGTTATTTGTTGAAGTTTCATCATTAGGCCATCCAATATTGTTATTTAAACCAGTAATATTGTGGGATACATCAGGGCCATTTTGAGCTATTAAACCGCGTACCTTCCATCCTTTACCGCGTAAATAGACCATTGGGGGAGGGCAAAAGAACCTTAATTAAGAAATTGATTAAGGGTAAAGGTAAATATTTTATGAAGATTTTTGTAGGGAAATGGGGAAGTCAGTCCCTCAAGTTTTTGACAGAAAGAGAAAAACAATCTTTGATTTTCTATGTCGCGATAAAACCAGTTAATGGCCCATTCCGCCTCTCATTATCAATGGAGTCCAGGGTTCAGTCGTTAACAAACAATTTACAAAATAGCAGTTAAATAATAGAGCGTTAAATTAAAACCCAGAAACTCCGGAAAATTTGATTTTATAACAAGACACTATGGTTTTTGTCAGATTGAAAACCCTTAACAACCTCAACCCCTCTACAAAAAAATTAAACCTCTTCTCAGCTCCATACGATTTTTGTGCAACTTTGGCATGATAAATCATAACAACACAATCCAGGTTTTCTTTATTCCGTAAATATTCTCGGACAATCTCTGCCGTCAATTTTTCATCAGGCACAACATTTTGGGTTAAACGAAGAGTTTGTGGGAGAAGTTGGTGTTGGTAATAATTTTGTTGTTGATTTTGATTATATAAATTAGAGCAAGTAGCCCCCTCAACAAAATTGACATTTTGGGCCATTAAATATTTCTTGAAAAGATAAAAATTAAGAAAAAAAAGAAATTTATACAAAACCTGATCTTCATCCGTTCTCATAACTCAAAAACACCTGAAAAAATGTGAAAAATTTTATTAAATTTATTTATAAAATAGTTCTAAGTATCTACATTTGGATAATTTGAATTGGGAGAAGTTATTGTTAAACAGGGAATAAATGATAAAATTGGATATTTTTAATTTTTACTTCAAGACTCAAATGGTAAATAAAAAGGCCATTTTGTTGCGCCCATTTAGTCGGTTCCATTTTGTCGCAAAATAAATTACCGTATTTCCCTTTTTATTGCAGTTGAATACCTAACTATAAGACTACATCGAAATATTTTCGACTCCTTTTAAATTTTACTTTATACTTTTTTGAAAGCCTATAAATTTTTAGCCTGTATCGAAAAATTCCCCCTTCCCCCATAAAACCCCGGAAATTTTGATTTTATAAGCAGACCCTGTTTAAAGGCTTCCGAGGCTGGAAACCCGCGTTCAGGGCCGGCATGGTCTGCTGTTGCTTTGATCGTTTTTCTTAACACTTATGTTATTCTCTACTTACATTTTGCTTTCAGGATTGTTTATTTTTGTGTGCGGCTTTTATTTTTTTAAATCTAAAATTTTATTTGAGATGTGTGACTGTTAATTTTCAATATTTAATCGCCAAAAAATATTTTAGTCTATTTTATTTCTAAATTTGAATATTAATTTTTATTTCTCATTTAAAACAGCTAATTAAACGTTTAAAATAAACAAATTTTTAAATAAATTAATGAAAAGATTAAATTTAGCTTGAAAAATTATTTCTTCGAAACCGAGCTATTTTTGATCATTCATTGTGAATAAAGAGAATTTTTGTCCGTAGATAAAAGATTAAATTAAATAAACAAATATATTTGGATGTATATTTAAATGATTTAAATTTATCCCTATTCTCAAAAAGATAAAGTATTTTAAATTTAAATTCCAAAAGAAAATGTTTTCTAAATTAATTTATTTAATAATTTTTGCTTTATTGTTTTTGGTTGGAAATATTGTATGTCCTAAAGGAGTGCCTGTAGCACCTAGTGGACCTGCAAAGAGTCATCCATGTCATGATGATCCAACTGGAAAAGGATGTAAGGAGTTCTGTCGCAATAATATAAATGATCGACAATGTAGAGACTTTTGCAGTAATAATCCAAATGAAGCTGTGTGTAAGAAAAAAGGGAAATAATTAAAATATATTTTAATTGTGATTTTGGGGTTTATTTTTTACTAATGGGAAATTAACGAAAAAACATATGGGCATATTAACTGATATTAAATGATTAATCTTTTTTCAATAAATTCAAAAATTGATAAAATTTAAATAAAATTGGTGATTTTTGAAAATTTTATTTTTTAAATTTATATATGTAAGAAAGAGAGAGGTAGACCAGGCATGTATCAAGGCTTCGAAATTTTGCAAGAGTTAAAGAAGATGGCACCTACCTATTTCTCCAGTTCTTCGAAAGCCGGTTAATGGCAGAGATATCACGAATATAAGGTCCCCGGAACAACTCCGAGCATAGTAAATAACAGTTAGTATGAATCTCTTCTGAAAATTACAAGTTTAAAACCTCATTTTTCAGGTTAAAATTAATTTTAAAAAGTTGTCTTATTGCATTAAAAGTGAGCTAGAAAAACTCGAAAATCCCAAACACAAAAAACTCGCAAATAAATGTACTGTTGGAGGTTGGAGGTAACTAATCCAAACATTTAGTTAATTGTTTTTAAAATTTTATTCGGGATCCTGAAGGATTATCATAAAAAATTTAAATTTTTAGGTAATCATTGTCTATGTCGTAATATCATAAAGTCAAACCGTGGGAATTTTGTGGATAATAATTTTAAATATTTTTACTTTTTAGCCTTCATACACTTTAAAAGGTATGAGGGCAAAAAGTGTTAATTTATGGGAAAAACAAAATTATCAAGTATTTTCCTCACATTTTGCTTTTACTTTTAAAAAGATTTTCAAAGCCAAAATTAAAAAATAAAACAAAAATTATGCCACGGCAATCATCAGAGAAAATATGTCGGGTTTGTGGTGATATAGCTACTGGAAATCATTATGGTAAAGTCAAATCTCATTATGAGTTACTTTCAATTAGATATATAGTTTGGAATACTGGGAGCTGCATTAGCTTAAGAGTTTTATTAGTTTAACCCTGAAAGGGCATTTTGGAGTGAGAGCCACCTGTAATACATTCTAAACACATTTAAAAATATCTTTAAAGGTGTTACAAGTTGTGATGGGTGTAGAGGCTTTTTTAAACGTTCAATTCGAAGAAATCTCAACTATAAATGCAAAGAATCTAATGCTTGTCCTGTCGATATAGCAAGACGTAATCAATGCCAAGCTTGTCGTTTTCGACGGTGTTTGGCTGTTCAAATGAATAGAAATGGTTTTTTATGATTCTTGTAAAAAAAGCTATAGCTGTATAATAACCAGTGTTTGAAATTTTGAAATTTGCTCGTACTTGTATGTACTTGGCCTATTTTTTGCCCATAATTGTAATTCGTACACAGGTACGAGCACGAATTCTGGTACGAGCTTCCGAACAATTAAGTAGGGTTGTTCGTTTCCACCCATTACATCCATTTCCTGGTCCTTCATAAAATCGCTTTTATTGGAACTATTCTGTCCTTCTTCACTCTTTTGATAATTTAAATTCAGAAATAGAACATTTTATTAAAAAATTTTAAAATTTAATAGCCGTCCAAAACGAACGTAATTTGCTTCCAAAACTCGCCCATCCATCCGATTCAATTAACAAAATAACTCATCAAACACCTTGTCCAACAAAATTAACACAACAAGTTTATCCACAACCAATTTTAACCAAAAAACCCTATTTATCATCAATAGAAGAACTTATTAAAATCCAAAAATCAGTTGGAAGAAAAGTTGTTAGAACAAATAATTTTCGAATAGAAAATCTATTAAAGTGTAATACTCCATCTTCTATGTAAAAATTATAAAGAAATTTTCAAAAAAATTTCTTTTTAATTTTCTAGATTAGAAAAACATTGTTTTAATTTATTACAAGTTTTGTCAGTTTCAATACGAAAATTTTGTGAAGCCTTTCAAATTCCAAAGAATATCATTAATGTTTTGCTAGATCAAGGATGGCATCGTTTATTACTGGCACATTTGTGTGCTCTCTTTCCTTTTGGTTAGAATTTTCATTTTTTATTCTGAAAATCTAATGAGAGAAATTTTCTCTGATTAATAGTATGATATGCATACATAGCAGGGACGGGGAATTTTCAATTTTAAAAAGCGGAATTCTACGCGGAATTCTACGGAAGGCGGAAGCGGATCCATCTCTGATACATAACTTTAGTTGCCGTTGATTTTTTAGTCTATCGGCATTTCAGCCTGACAGATAATGCTGCGCGTTCTGTCAGAACAGAACCAGAGGATTTTCGGTTCGTTCCCGGATATTCAGAAATTCTCGAAGAGCCTTAATTAAAATTGAAAAATTTAACTTTAAATTAAAATGAAAAAATTACAAAATATATCTACATACAATTTTTCAGTCCCTCACCATTTAAAAAATTCAAACGACCAGCTTTATTCATTTATATTTCCATTTATTCAACTTCAATTAAATAATTTTGAACAATGGTCGCTGGGTTGTACGGTGTTCTTTCATGGAAAAGGTGAATTTAAATAAAGGCTTGGTTTGAGAGCCGTTGATTTTGACCTTTCAAAACTCTCTCTCTAATAGAGTTGGCCGGGATTGGGATCCCGGTCGGGATCGAGCGGAATTATCCCGGTTTTGTCCAATCTCGGTCCCGATTTTGCTGATCCCGAACCGGGATCAGCAGTTTTCCGGAAATTATTTCTCTATTCCAAATCCCTATTTCGGGGATTTGGTCTCGATCCCAAATCCCGGCCAGCACTACTCACTATCTTCAAAACCCTCTTTCTTTCTCTCTATTCTCACCCTCTCTCTATTTTCACTTTTTAAAATTCCAAATTTCCACAGATGTTAAAAACAAAGCATTAAACTCATTACTAAACGAGATCGGAGAGAAAGCGTCTCTCACACTTGTTCAACAAACATTTTTGTCTTCCTTTCAACAACAACAAAGAATATCCAAAATTTTAAGTTTATTAATTAAAATTATTTATCTTAGTGAAGAAAATGTAAAAAATATTTTATTGCCAAATTATTCATTTGAAGAAATTCACAATATTTGGAAAAAATGAATGAAAATTTTCTGATTTCATTTTCAATAAAGAATTTATGAAAAATATTTAAAGTTTTTGAAATACCGTATTCTCTCTAGTATTAGAATGCCATGGCATTTATTTTTCAATCACCTTCCAAAGTGACATTATATCAGAGACTGACATTCAACTTGAGAGTGGACTTGAGAGAGTGTTTAAAAATGGAAATTTGAAAAAAATTTTCGTCTAGCAAATTCAATTGTCTCAAGATTTAGTTTTATTTTGATATAGGAAAAAAGTTAAAATAGAATTTAACTTGGATTCGAAAATTATTGGCTCTTGTCCAGTTTAGGCATCGAATCGTACCCAATCATTCTTTAAGTACCAGGTTCTATGTGTTAAAACCTGTCTGCTAATATACGTGTGTATCATAACTCTAAGTGAGTAGAGGTTTCTATTCCCATAGATTTTTTGGTAATATAGTGCAGAACCGGGTACTTAAAATATGTGATTGGATGCATAAAATGTTACTGAACGCATAAACTTTTCATTGAACGCATTAAGATTGATTGGACGTATAAAAGTGCGATTGGACGCTTAAACTGGACAAGAGCCAAATTATTTGCTTTAGAATAATTTTTAAGGTTCAACAAAACTACCTATTTGGTTCATTAAAGTTTTTCCCGCAAGCGGGGAAAAATAGTCATACTAATTACCAAAATAATTAGCCGAAAACCCCTAGACCCTTTGGTTTTGTCGGACCCCTACGCCCAAATTCTATGTTGGACTACCTATTTACTAGTCGCAGATTGTACTTTTTTCTTATGGTAAACACAAAATTGGAATTTTTTAAGAACAAAATCATTTACAAAATACAAATTTTAATAATATTTACACTTTATAAAACGTGAGAAGATTTGTGCTTAACATTAATCTTAAAAAATATTATCGTATATTTATTTTAATTAGTACACTTTTATAAAAATGTTAACTTCAAAATTTAAACAATTAAAAAGTACTTTATTTTAATAATTTTATACTTCCTCTTAAAAAAGTTTTTTTTTAAATAAACATTTACCCAAACAATTAATTATTCAATTTAAAATTTTGGAATATAAATTTATAAATTTTAACAGATGAGTCTTCCAAAAATTGATGTAAGCTTTTAAAGTAGAGTAATTTTTTGTTGCATAGAGAACGAGATTAGAAACTAAAGTTGGCTCCCATACAAAATACCGAATTCTTAAAATATGGAATCTCAAAATCGCGAATCGGCTAAAAAAGCTCAAAATATGGAATCTCAAAATATCGAATCTCAAAATATGGAATCCCAAAATATCGAATCGGCCAAAAAAGCTCAAAATATCGACAATGCGGCAAAAGCCAGTTGAGTCTGAACAATTTTATCAACAACTTCGAAAAAAATTTAAAAATATGCAAAAGGGTTTTTCTAGGGTAAAAAAATATGCTGATTACGAATCTGAGCTCGGATTTTGAAAAAGTCGAATCCCAGACCCGAACCGAGCTTCGAATCCCGAACCGAATTTCGATTTTCCGAATGATAGATCATTTGAAAGAGCACGACGAGCTGCATCGACTGATACCAAAATCAATGAAATCCGACTTTATTGGACTGAGATACAGACCCCTGAATAAACTGAAAAAGACCTGCACTCAATTGGCGGCACTCAAACGGCCCTTTTCGTTTTTAAAAAATTCGACATTTTTAGCTACTTTTTAGCCGATTCGGTATTTTGAGCATTTTAGCCTATTCGAGATTTTGAGATTCGATATTTTAAGATTCCATATTTTGAGCTTTTTTGGCCGATTCCATATTTTGAGAATTCGGTATTTTGTGCGGGCACGCTAAAGTTAGTTCTTCTTTCGATTAGCTGATTTTCGAATTTCTAAGAATTTCTTGCAAAAGACATTGGCAACTGAAAATCAAAATAACGTAGGAGTAAAAACCGATTTTTAGAGTAAAAATTCTGAGAAACAAAGAGTAGCTCATTTAAAAGAACACTTGTGAGTTGATGCCGCTTCAAACCTTTTCGAAACACTAATTTTTTCTAAACGATATAACTTTTTTCATTCTTAAACAAAAAATGAATCATAGTATGAAGCAAGAGATTTCGCATACATCTGGGTCCTATTTTAACTGTCAACAGATTCTGCATTCTGTGCACAGAACGTAGATTCTGTGGAAATTCTGTTTCAATTAAATTCTGCGTACGCAGATTCTGCCACAGAAATTAACTGGAATAACCATCTTGGCTATTTTTGTCAGAAATCGAATGGTTTTTATATTTTAATATCACATGTCTAAAATATTATACCTGACTTTTAATAATTTAAACAAATAAATATTTATTATATTATTTAGCCTAAATATTCGACATATAAAGATGCTGGTATCATATTTGAATTTCTTTTGCCAGCAATTATTGGGGCATCTTTTGGATTTATTGGAATATTATCTAATTTTAGTGTTTGCTATATAACTATAAAATACAAGTAATTAATAAACTAGAGACAGGACTGGGAGTGTTTTAGGAGAATCAGAGGAGATATCTCAGAAAATTTCGAAACTCTGAAACATTTTTGGAGATTTTGAGATATTTTTAATTCATTATCAGGGAATCAAGGAGAAGTATTGATAAGATATCCCACGATATCTCACAATCCTCCGTTATCCTAGTATCCCCAAACCCGCATAATCCCACATATTTTCGTAATCCAACAAACCCATTTCTATTTTCTGGCGACAAAAATTTCACATCTTCTACAAGATTATTCGGGATTTTCGTTCAAAATCTCGTCTCGATCCGGTCTCTCTAAATAAAACTAATTATATAATTTAAAAATATTTAGAAAAAAATATAATGCACTTAGAAGCAACACAGCAATTCTGTTAACGGCAAACTCGTTTTTCGAAATTCTTAATTTGTCAGGTCTTTTCCTAACTTTAGCAGTTACAGCAAGCGGAATTAACATAATTCCTTATGGAACAGCTGTTTATTTACAATCTCATTCATTTATTGGATTCTTTTCTGCTATTTTTACGATTACATCTCTTAGTTTTGACCGATTTTTGGCTGTAGCATTTCCAATTTAGTAGGAATTTGATACAAAATCTCTCTCAGCATCCACTTTTATCGAACTAACAAAGGAGAGTGCCTGAAGTATAGGACTTTGGGATGAAATTTAGTAGACAGATAGATTATACCCTGCTTTAGTTGTCAAATTTGCACCATTTTCGCTGCGGGGTACCAGGGACCAAGTTATAAGCCCCCAAAGTTTTAAAATACCCCACACAGTCTTCGGTGGTGCAATGATAACGTTCTTCGATGTATTTTTCCCCCAAGTTCGAATCCTGATAGGAGAAATTCCAACTAAAGTAGTGTATGATTTATATGTATACCAAATTTCATCCCGAATTCCAATGGACACAGGCACTCTCCTTTGTAAGGGAACTTTTAGGTGGATGCTGGGAGACATACCTTTTTCAACCAGTTTAGAGCTAATTTCAACCAAATTTTAGCTACAAAACCATTAACCAAAAACTATATATTCGTGGCCACTTTGCTACTGTGTTCATTTTTATATTTTATATAATATTTCTTATTATAAAGTCAGCTATTAATTTTGGTGATTGGCCAGTAAATGGAGGTCGTAGTGATTATTTTAGAATATTAACTAATGACAATATTCTATCTTCATTTATATATATTTTGTTTGTTCCAGCTATAGTTTTATATGGTCTTGTTGGCTTGATTTTAATATTTAAAAAAGGTAATTTATTTTTGATTGGGTCTCTTTTCGCTTTACAAAATCATAACGGAAGTTAAGACAGTGCTTTTATCCAACATTATTTTGAAAAACTTGATGATAAAGAAATGATAAATCTGCGTTCAGCGGAATTCCCAATTTTTGACTAGTCTTCTCACATCGGGAGCAATTTGTCTAAAATTATAGAATCCGAGACGCTTTAGTATGATTTGATTCGGCTCGTCGAGGTGTCGAACCATACAAACGCTTCCTGGTTTCGATAATTTTAAACCAACTACATTGGCTTCGCGGTACATCGAAGTCTATCCTTCTCCTCCTTCCGTCCTCCATTTTTTAAAATTTTGTTCCACATTTTAAAAATTATTTTGTAACAACCCTGATACATTCTATATTTTTTATTTTTTAGCTACTGATGACGAGAAAATGAGAAAAGTATATCGCTCATTGTTTTTGATTGTATTCTTCAATATTGGAGGATATTTTTTTTCTTTGTTGATAGGCGTTTACATTATTAACCCTCTTGGGGCTGTCGATCCTTTACATGCTCAGTTATATATAATGTTTGGCGCATTAATTCTTAATGTTGCGGGGTCTTCTAATGCTCCAATTCTTTACATAAATAGGTCTTTTATTTATAAAATAGAACATTTTTAGGTACCTATTGCATTATATCCCCCATCGTCCCAAATGTTTGTCCGCAAAGTTTGTTTTACCAGAGGTAAGGTTGCTGGTTTCAAATCGAACCAAAAACCCCGAAGATTTTCAGTCATTTTGTGATTAACGGAAGAATTTAGTCAAACTGGCAAACTCATTAAGAGGGCCAGCTCTTAGAAATAAATTAAAAATATTTAATGACTGCAAACATCTAAGAAACAAATTTAAAAATAACGTCTTTCCTATAAAAATTGCCTTATTTAAATTAATCTGTGACTGTTTTTAATCATTATGAGAGGAGAAAAAGGAGAAGGCAAGACAAACTTTTGCGGTAAACATTTGCGGACGATCGGGGGATACAATGCGATAGTACCCATTTTTATTCAAAAAATTTCAGTACCGACTATAAAGAGGCTTATAAAAAGGAATTCTATTTATTAATAAAATATTCAAAAAAATTGTTAAATATAGAACAACAAACTACAACTTCAAGTGTTGTTGTATTGCAAAGAGGAAATTGGACTGGAAACACTGGACATTAAATATTTTTATTGGCTAAAAGTTTAAGTAGCTAAGAAGCTATTGTTCTGTCTATACAAAGTCCAGAAAATTTCTATTAATGGATCTACACTGCGGTGCATATGTTTATGCACACTAGTTTTTTGTTCATAATTTTATGCAATCTTATTCAAAAAAATACGTTCTATATAGCAATCGAAAGCTCTATTTGTATCTCAGTTGACATGTTTCTGCATTTTCCATGAAAATGATAATTGGCCGAGATAATCCGGATCTACCGGATATACCAAATCCCATATCCTCGGAAAAATTTTTCGAAAAAAATTTAACAAACCCATTTGATAAAGCATATTTTTGTGAGTATTTACCACAAAACCGCTTAGAAATATCTTTTTCCGGAACGGAGATATGATTTTTTGAAAATCGAAAAAAGCGATTTTTTGACGAAAAATGGCAAAAATATGGTATTTTTTCGATTTTCAAAAATTCATAACTCGGTCGAATCTCGACCGATTTGGATGATTTTTTTGTATTTTATGTAGAATCTAGAGGAGAATCACATATATTTTTTACAGACCTCAAAAAAATTTCTTCGAAAAGTTGAAAATGTAGTACCTGTTAGACCGGTCGAAAAGTTTTCGAAAATATCAGAATTTCGAAAAATGCAGAAACATGTCAACTGAGATACAGATAGAGCTTTCGATTGCCATATAGAAAATATTTTTCGAATAAGTGTGCATAAACTTATGAACAAAAAACTAGTGTGCATAAACATATGCACCGCAGTGTATTCTTTCTTAAATAAAATATTTCATTTTAGTCCCCTCCTTTCTCGAGATACCGTATTTTCTCTATTAGAATACCACCACTTTTTAATAGAATGCCTCTTCGAAATGTATTTGGAAAATATGCTGTGGCATTCTATTTGGAGGATCCCTAAGCCAGATTTCTTCCTCTCAAATTCCCCGATTTTCGGGGACGGGTACAAAACCTACTCAGAAATTTATTGAATTATATTTAATTGAATTAATCTTGCCAAAACAAAATAAAAATTTTTTAATTTTGTTTTTTTTTTGTTTTTTACTAACTTTTTTTCGATTTTTCAAACTTTCTTTTTTTTCTTGTAAATTTCTTCTTTCTTTTAAACAAATTAAACTTTAACTATTCAAAATAAATTTTTAGTTATTTTAATATTTAATTCATGTTTTCAACAGTGAAGACCAAATATTAAGGGACTAATTGAGCTTTTTCTAAATCTGCTTATATCCCTAGATATACACTTTTACTCACTTCAAATGTCCCAAACTCACTCCAAAGTCCCTTATATCCTTTAAATCCCACCTTATACTCCCTAATTTTTGCATAAATTAACGAAAATAGACCAAAAGCATTTTATTTTTCGAACTTTATACTTCAAAAAAATTTTTCCTTAACCCGGACTATCTAAATTTTTTAATAGCTTTATCTGAGAGTTTTTTCTTAATAAAATATTTAATATCGAATTAAATTTAAATCAATTTTACCAACAATTAAAAAAATTTTTTTTAATTTTTAAATTTATTTTTTCTATTTCCAAAACACGTGAAAATAAATTTGAAATTTATTTTAATATTTAATCCACGTTTTCAACGGTTAATTAAACAATTATAGCCCCTCATAGATGAAGTATGAAGGAAAAAGCTTCTCCAACTTGGAAATTCAAAAACCCTTTCACATAAAAAGAATTTTTTTGAATTTAAGTATTATGGATTACAATTGAGTAAATAAATAGATCTATATTACCAAATATATTTCAATTTATATTTAAATGACTTAAATTTACCCCCTATTCTCAAAATAAAATATTTTAATTTTAATTTTAAATTCCAAAAAAAGAAAAAATGTTTTCTATGAAATCAATTTATTTAATAATATTTTCCTTACTGTTTTTGGCTGGCAATATTGTATGTCATAGTGGTCCTTCAAATGAACCTCCATGTCATGTTGATCCAAATGGGCAAGAATGCAAGGACTGTCTTAAACATCAAAATCCTCGTCACTGTTAGTAACTTGAAAAAATCTACTAAATGGAAGTGTGTGGAAACAAAGGGAAATAATTAAAATATATTTTAATTGTGATTTTGGGGTTATTTTTTAAATAAAGGGAAATTAACGAAAAACAAATGGGCATATTAACTGATATTAAATAATTATTCTTTTTTCAATAAATTTCCAAAATTGTATAAAATTTGGAGAATTTATTTTTTATTTTGAATGCCATCCTATTCTAGCGTAGAGCTCCCTAAAAAGTAAATTTATGGCTAAGTCGTAGGCGAAGTCTTTTAACGAGTTAGTCGCTAAGCTTATATAAAAGTATATGAGGACTGTTTGCTGTTGTTGTGGGGGGAATAATTGGAGTTGGAAGTCGTAATCAGGAGTCATACATCACCAAAATTTAGGGAAATCCGACAAATTTATCGTGATTTATTCGAAAATTCTCGTTATTTCAATGTATTTAATTAAATCAATTTTTCCAATAATAAAAAAATTTATACCGTTTAATTTATTTTATTTTTTCCAAATTAACTGCCCAAATCGTTCATTTGACTCTCGAATTTCTTAGAATTATTCTTAATTTCAATGATCCCTAGATATCAAATCACTCAGAAAGGACAAAAGTGAAATATTTACGATATTTTAAATGGCACTCAAACGGAGGTTGTTGGGAAGTTGCGACGGTAAAGGTCGCTTCAGTTCAGTCATTATTTGCAGTCATTATTTGGCGGGGTTTTGTGGGTTTTTCCGAATTTCTACAAAATTTTTAAAATTTATTTTTATACATAGATGTTGCTCAACAAAATTTCTTCATTTTCTAATTCTCGTTTAAATATCAAAAACATTTTTGCGTTTAAAAATTTATCATCAAATGTTATCTCAAGTAAAGCACATTTCTCGCATCAGCCAAATGTAAAATCAAATATTATTGATTCTGGATATAAATTAACTACTTTAGCTTCTGGTTTTCGTGTTGCCTCAGAAACTCTGAAAATGTCAACAGCAACGGTTTTTTTTAATTTTATTTTGTTAGAATATGTTAGGGGGAGTTGAGAAAATTAAATTTTTTCTAAATAAATTCCCCCCCACCTCCGAATGGGGAAACGGAAAAAATTTTTGGATTTTGGGAGGGAGTTGATGAAAAAATTTAAAAAATCCTGTTTTTTCATCTATTTTAATTTTCAGGTAGGAGTTTGGATTGATGCTGGCAGTCGTTACGAGGATGAAAATAACAGCGGAGTTGCTCATTTTCTTGAACATATGGCTTTTAAGGTTTAAAAAACCAATTGTAAAACGCCAATATTTTTAAGGGAACAAAGAAAAGGACTCAACACCAACTAGAATTGGAAGTAGAGGATATGGGGGCACATTTAAATGCTTATACATCGAGAGTATTTTTTCCTTTTCTTTTAAGTTTTTTTAAAAAATTCGTTTTAAGGAACATACAGTTTATTATGCAAAATGTTTATCTTCTGATTTGGAGAAATGTTTACTTTTTATTTTTTGAAAAAAAATTTTTTTTAATTTTTTTAGCTGTCGAAATCCTTTCTGATATTTTATTGAGAAGTGTTTATGACGAAGGGGCAATTTATCGAGAACAACAAGTAATTCTTAGAGAGGCTGAATCGATTGAACAAAATGTACAAGAAGTTGTTTTTGATCATTTACACGCGATTGCTTTTGCTGGATCGCCTCTTGAAAGAACTATTTTGGGAACTAACCAAAATATTAAGTAAAAAGTTTTTTTATTTTTAGAGAATGAATTTTTTGAGATTGGAGAACATTTGTGTGTAATTTATAAGAAAATTTACTCGAAAATTTATTAACTTAAACTTTGGTTTTAAAAAATTTTTTGACGTTTATGGGGGATTTAACGGGAGAAGGTTCAAGCCGGGAATTAATGCTTTATAAGTAAAAATTTTCCAAGATAAAAATTGGGGAAATTTAAAAGATTTATTTGTTTCTCTTCCGAAAATTTAATATTTTTTGCTTTTATTTTCTTAATTTTTGAATTTGTTTTTTTTCCTAATTAAAAAATTTTTTTTATCATTCCAGAAACATGACAAGAGATCATTTAATTGAATATGTCAAAAAATATTACAAAGGCCCAAGAATGGTATTAACCGCTGCAGGGGGAGTTGACCATGATTATTTGGTGGAGCTTGGAAAGAAATATTTTGGGAATATAGAAAGAGGGGATGAACACGTACTTGATTATGAACGTGGAACTTTTAAACAATCAACGGTTTGGAATTTTATAAAATTCTAAAATTAATTTTTATAGAAAACTATTGAAAACCCAGAAATGAAAATGACTTATGGAACTTTGGCTGTAGAGGGAACAAGTTGGACTAATCCTGATAATGTTGCTATACAAGTGGCAAATACTGTAAGGTTTTTTTCAGAGATAAAAATTTTATTTTTTGGGCTGTAGTGTAGTGTACCGGTGGTAAAAGTTCGGAACGTGACATATGTCATTCGATTCGTCTCGACGAGCTGAGTCGAACGGTACTACTCCCTACTTTAGGAAATGATTCTGGACCGAGTTATGGGTCCCGAAAAATTGAAAAACCAAAGGGGGGAGTAAGCTCGATTTTGGGGTGAAAAATTCGAATATGCAAATAATAGCTCATTCGAAAGAGCTCGGCGAGCTGAGTCGAATGACACCAAAATCAACGAAATCTGACTTGATTTGACAAAGTTATGACCGTTTGTTTTAACTCCTTACCTATGGCGCCCGTGGAGGTTTTTGCTGCTACAGGAGCCCCAAATACATCCAGAGCAAGGGAGATGGGACTAGGTTTATGTTACTGACCCAGACCCAGCGCCCGTAGACTCCCCGCGAGGCGCGTGCCGCAAAACCCCGCGCGAAGCGCGGGGTTTTGCACAAGCGCCTCGCCGACGCCCCATAGGTTTATGTTGTTTGTTTTTCTATTGTAACTTTGTCCAAACTTTTACAATCAAGCTGATTTTGGTGTCATTCGACTCAGCTCGACGAGCTCTTTCGAATGAGCTATTATTTGCATATTCGAATTTTTCACCCCAAAAAGTGCTTGGTCCCCCCTATGGTTTTTCAATTTTTCGGGACCTATAACTCGGCCCAGAATCATTTCCTAAAATTAAGAGTGGTACCGTTCGACTCAGCTCGTCGAGACGAATCGAATGACATATGTCACGTCCCGAACTTTTACCACCGGTACACTACACTATATCCATTTTTTGATAGCTGGGATGAAATGTCATTCTTTTGCTTAAAACGTTTTGTTTGGGAAAGGATGGAGTTTTGAATATTTTTGAACCCTCAAATTTTATTAGACGGAATCTGAAAATTCTGAGAAATTCCAAATCTTTCCATCCTCGTTTCAATCCGATGGGTCAATTTTCTAATTTTGTCATTTTAATTCTGAATTGTCGTCAAATTATTTTAAAAAAAATTTAAAAATCAAATTTTTTTAGATGATTGGACAATACGACAGAACCCAAAGTATTGGTATACTTGGAAGTTCAACTCTAGCAACTTCACTTGGTCATGATTCTGGTGTTGAATCATTTATGGCCTACACGGTTTTTTTTAATTTTTTAAAATAAAATTAAATTTTTTTAGACTTCTTATAAAGACGTTGGTCTAACTGGTATTTATTTTTGTGCTGAACCCCGTGCACTAGAAAATCTTGTTAAATGTGTTTGTAATGAATGGAGGTCATTGTCCGGTGATATAAATGTTGATAGTTTAGAGAGGGCAAAATCTTCTTTGTTAACAAATTGTGCATTAATTTTGGATGGATCAACAGCCGTATGCGAGGATATTGGAAGGTTTTTAAATTTTCTAAAAAATCGTAAAAACTTTTTAAACTTAATAAAAAATTGAATTAGGAAGGGAATTTTACTTATTTAAGAAATGAGCATTTCCCCAAATATTATGTACATATTTTGTTTCAAACCTCAATTTTATTTACAATAGAACCAAAATGATACCCACATGTGGGACTAAAAAGTTGTATATTATAATAAGGGGCTGGCCGTAACCAGGATTTTTTCCGGGAAATCACAAAAAAATTTTCTTTTTTTTTAACTTTAGACAATTTTTGTGTGTGGTCAGATGGGAAAATTTTTTGGCGCGATAGGCACCTAGAATTTTGATTTTTTGAACCGTAGGCGAAAATTTTAGTTAGGGGCCTGATGAGGGGAATTTCTTTTTATCAAAAATTTTAAATTAATTTTTAGAAATTTTTTTTCTTTTATTTTTGTTAAATTTTAGGCAAATTTTAATTTATGGTAAAAGATTGAATGTTGAAGAATTGGCCGAAGAAATAAATGTATTTTTAAATATATTTATTTTTTAATTTTTTTAATTTTTAAAGTCAGTCACGCCTGATACAATTAGATCAATTGGTGAACGCTATTATTTGAACAAACCGTTTTCGTATGTTGTTGTTGGTTTGTTTTTCTTTATTTAACAAAATTTTTAATAAGGGGGTTTTAATGATTTTAATAATCCCTTTCTTTCTACCCTTCTCCTCTCCCACCATTCTCCACTTTTTTTTCTTAAATTAAAATTGAATTTAGGAATTCTTTTAATAATTGAAGTTTACCGCCAAAGGTTAGAGGGGCGGGCTTTCATTCTCATGTCATCGTTCCTAATTTTTAAATTGCTCAATGCCATAATATTTTTGATAATTTCTCCCATGTAGATTAAATAAAAAGGTCAAAAACTCCATTTTCAGAAAAGATTAAAAGAATACGAGTCTTAAAATGGGGAAACTGGACTTTAATTTCATTCAAAAGTTAAGACATTATACGGATTAAGAAAAGAGCGGGGACTGGGTTTTGGAACACATTAAAATATCCCTAAATTAAAGGAAACACTAGTAATTGGCCGAGTGGACAGAAAATTAAAAAGATGCTGAGCAAGCCATAAAATTTATATTTAATCTTGAACTTTTGACCATTAAAAATGTTTTTTTTTTGTTGTTTAATTAATTATAAATTTATTTTTTAAAAATTTTAATATATCCCCTCTTTTGAACTTTATTATTAAAGTTCACACGTGTTTGATTAACAAAGCTGTCAGATTCAAAAAATTTTTCATTTTTTAACTTTAGGCCATTTTTGTTGTGTTTTTTTTAAATCGAAGGAAAGACAAGGTTGTTGGACATTAGAGTCTGAGGTTTTTCAGCTTATTAGTGTTTTAGATTTTGTTAGAGAGGGGTGTGAACCAGGGCTGGGCTCCGCTTTCGCATCTTTCGCATTTTTCGCATTTTTTGGTGCGAAAAGTTTCGCATTTTGGTCCAAATGCGAAATTTGTTTCGCATTTTTCATTTAGTATTTCTTTATTTTTTAGATATTTTGACGTAAAATTTTTTAAAGGAAAAGGGAAGAAATATCAATAATCTATCCCGATTTTACTTTTGTTGTTCGATGGTGGAGTGGCTAAGTTGACTGAATACGTTCACTTTGGTGTAATTTGGGGCTGGGTTCGAATCCAGATGTAGGAAATAAGACTTAAACAATTTTTCCTTCCAAAAATAAATGTTTTTAAACTTTGATTTTGATTTTAAATCTGTAAATTTATTTTTTTTAATATGTCAAACCTGAAAAACATTAAAAATTTTAATTTAGTAATGAATTTTCCAAATTTTCGCCTGCTGCGCAGAAAATAAAAAAAATCTGACTCAAGGACTCTGAAATTCTCAAAATTTTCGCCTGCGGCGCAAAAAATGGAAAACGAGTAGAGCAATTTTCATATTCTAAATAGAGTTGAGCGGGATCGGGATCCCGACCTAAAATCAGGATTGGGATTTTGGAATAACGACCCTGATCCCGGTCCCGACTACGGGAGCAGGATTGGTCGAAATCGGGATCTGGATTTGAAATAATGACCCCGATCCCGAATCGGAACCTGTAATGCCCCGAACCTGCAATGCTTTTTCGATATTCGGGACATTATCTCGATTGACAGGCAGTTCCATGAATAGAGTGAGGTATCTTTCGACTCAGCTCGCCGAGGCAAATCGAATGTTATGTGTTTCTTATCGAAATTTTGCTTCCGGTATACTATACCATGTCCAAAATTTTTCAAGAATTTTTAACTAATTTCGCTTTCGCTTTCGCATCTTTCGCATTTTTCGCATTTTTTGGCGCGAAAAGTTTCGCATTTCGCATTTCGCTTTTTATTTTTTTAAAAAAAGTTTCGCATTTCGCATTTTATTTTTTGATTTCGCCCAGCCCTGGTGTGAACTTTACAGAATAACTTTAAATTCTATAAACGATCCAGGAAACCGAAAAATTTTTTGGAAACAACCAAAAGGTAAATTTAATTGTGTTGTCAGTTAGTGAGTGAGAGAATCTTGAAGGAAATGAGACTATTATTAAGAGATGAATAAGAAAGTCAACTTAACCAAAGATTTCGAAATTTTTCACCTGATTAGCTCTTCCGTAACGTTTCCTGGTTTGGAGGAGGTATTTTTTATTTTTAACTGCAAAATTAAAGAAAAAATATCGGGGCGCATTCTTTTAAGGAATTTTGTTAGGAATTTTCAAAAAAAATATGTAGGATTTTTTTGGTTGATCCAGAATTTTAGTCAACATAGTCATTGTTAGGTGAAAAGAAGGGAAAGGGGAGAGACAGACTTGTTACTCTTTTATTGATTCTTTTCTCTCTCTCCATACAACTACGTCTCTCTCTCTTTATAATCCATACACATTCCACTTTTTTATTCACTGACACAGACTTTCTCTCTCTTCTCTAACAAGCACACCACAGCACTAAAATTCTTTTGAAATGCGGAGTGGGAAGAACAACACTACACAAAATAATAAAAAAAGCTCCGCCCCACAAAGCCCTATATAAACGAAGCGATGGAGGCCCCAACTTTCAGACTTGCTTTCTTTCATTTGGAAAAGAGAGCGCTTTGGCGACTGTGAAAGGCGCACAGCAAGCCTTACCAAACAGTCGTCTAAGTGCTTCACCAACCACACATTTTTTTTCAGGCTTGTCTATTTTTACTTGTGAGTGGGCATTGTGAGGTGATTTTTTGGTACCATTGGATATAGCACCCCTGAGTTTCTATTGGAAAGTGGTGCAGGTATTTTTGTAAAAGTCCCCAAAATTTCATCCCTGGAGGCGGGTTGTTAGAGGCTCATCCGCTTTGAGACTCGATTGTACCTTTTTGGGGTGGGATGGTAAAGAATGAAAGAAAAAAACTAAAGGATAAAGAATATTAGTTTGAAAAAAGGGGGAGAGAAGAAATAAGAAGTGGAACAAATGAAGTTATAAAATCCTAAGCAGGTGCAGCCTTTAACAGTCCTAGGCAAGAGGGAATGAGGAGGGAATTTTGTGGCAAGTGAGTGACCAATTCACCTCTGGAATTTGAGTCTTATCATAAGGAGGCGCTAAGACTCAACCGTTTTTAAAAAACTGTTGAGTCTCGAAGTTGACGGCCACTAACCTCATAAGCTTTTACAAAAAATCGGTATCACTTCCAGTGGAAACGTATCCATTGTATCAATATTTAATTTCATAGTAACAATATAGAGAAATGTAGTCAAAAATTATTTAAATTTTTATTTCGTATCTCTTCAATCACATTGTTTTTTCAATCTTTGTTTTTCTGTAAAATAAAAGAAAATTGAATTAACGTTGAAAATAATTATTTGAGAAAAATATTTTTTAAATTTTAAATGTTAAATTATATTTCAAAATTTTTTGTTAAAAATTTATAAAATCATGTTTTGCCAAGAAAAATAAATCATTTAACAAAATAAAATTATTAGCTAAAAAATAAATGTTAAATTAAATTTTAAAATGGATATTAATCAAAAAATAGTATGGTGGTCAATTGAGTATCGTGTTAGAATTTCATAGGCTCTTCTGTCGATTCCTTGAGATTTCGAAATATTTACTAGTCTCCATGAGAAAAACTGATTGATCAATTCTAAATCTAATGATTATCCTTTAATCAAAGTACAATTTTTAATGATTGAGTTGGATAAGTCAAGTTTTACCCCAGCTCCCTTACCCTGTTTACTGATACGCAAAACTTTAATGCAGAAAATGTTTTGGCATTGAGCCTATTTTGAGCTTGATCAAATCCGAATAAATCTTATATCATTCGAAAGCCGACTGTGAGCCCAATCTTTTTCCTTTCCTAACTTGGATCAAGTCTGATCACCAGTTATGGATCAAGTCTGATCACCAGTTAAAAAGTTACAAGTCGATAAGTGGGAAAATCGTTGCTTTTCATATTTATCGACTTGTAGCTATTTAAAGAGCGATCAGACTTGATCCATCCAATTGGAAAAAGATAGCGCTTATCAAGGGTTTTCGAACGATCTATGATTCATTTGTATTGGATCAAGCAGAAAAGAATATAGCGGATCTAAGGCTGACGCTCAACCGGCCACGCTCAACTGACCCAAAAAATCAGCAGTTTTATGTCGCGTTTTTTAATTTGGATCAGGTCTCGTGTAGCCTGAGCCATTCCTGCTGTGCATTCCTAAATGAATTCGAATCATTATCGCGATAAGTTAAAATAAAACTGAAAACTTACTACATTTTTCTTGGCAAACCCATAAAAGAATTATAAAAAATGCTTTTAAAGCAACGTAGAAAATTCAAAAAGAAAAAATGATTTCGTAATAAGGCCAGACAAAGCAAAGAATATTTTTTCCCTTTTGACATTTTGCCCTTTTATACTATTTATTTGAGTATAGACAATTGAGTCTAATTGTCTTTTCTCTTCCTCGATTAATTGTGTATATCTTTGTGAAATCTTTTTGAATAAAGTTTGGGATGGAATTTTATTTTAATAAAAAAAAATTTTTTTTGATAATGGGAGGGGCAAAAAAGAGTTCTAATTTTTTTTCTTTTTTAAGAGTTAATAATAAATATATTGACTCATGAGAACTGATGAAGATCGGGTTCAACCTTTACAACCTTTAACGCTCAAATTAAAACGTTCAGCAAGTGGAATACAGAGACTGGCGACTACAACTCTAACTCCACCTTTACATATAAAACCCTCATCCACTTCTGCTTTTCCGACAACTTCTGCACTTAAATCAACGGCAGGGACTTCGAATAATTGTTCACCTTCTGTTTGTTTTTTCTTTTATTTTTTTTAAACATTTATGGATAGTTTTGGGATTTTATGAATGGGTGAAAGATTCTTTTCTTCCCCTTTTTGCCAATTCCTTTCCTCGTATTTTTGGCCTGTTCATGTCAGAAGGCAAGAGTTCCTCGAGTCCTCTCAATTGTTGAGATGACTCAGGATTTTTTTCTTTCCCATTTTGTCATGATTTTCTCACCCTTAAATTTTCCACTGGATTTTAAAATTTATTTTTTAAGAGTGTACAAGCAGCTCGAAAAAGTGTGCAATCTACAGCAGAATTGGTTGCCCAGATTAGCGAACAATTACAACATTATGGTACTATTTTTGATACATCAACTTTGGCTTCTAATAGTAATAACAATATTAAAGAGACAAATAAACAACAATTACATTTACAGGTTTTTTTAAAATATAATAGGATTATTTTTGGTTTTATAATACTTGGTTTTTGTAACCCGGTAGTCTGGTTTTTCTATCGTTCATACTTGAACTTTCTTGATTATTCCTAGAACAAGACTAGGGTCTGATAAAAGAATCTTAGGGTTCGGTCCCATTATTTTTAAAAATCTTGATTACCTGAACAAAGCGGGTACAAATAAAATTTCTCGAAAAATAAGGAGAGTTGAAAGCTCAGATTTTCTTTTGAATAATTTTTCTTGAAATTTTATTAAAATTCCAACAATTTTAGAGAAATGCCAATTCGTTGTCTTCTTTGCCGGAAAACGATGTTGAAATTGTTGGTGAATCCACAGCTAAAAAGCGGCGTGGTAAAATGTCTGATCAAATTCAAAACCACTCTCAAGACATTGAGTTGTTAAATGGCAGACATAAAACAGGTGTTTGGAGGAAAAAAAGATTTTTTTGAAATTTGCAACGTTGCAAATTTCAAAAAACTTCCAAAAAATTTTCTAAAATAAAAAAAATTTTTTTTGGAAATTTTTTTCATAATTTTTTTAGAAAATGCTGTAAATAATAAAAAAGAAGGAAAGAAGAAACGTGGTCGACCTAAAATGACAGAAACGGGTATTTATTTAAATAATTTGAATGATGGAATGAATGAAAGGTCAACAATTACTAAAACTTTAAAGTCTTCAAAGGAAGTTGGCAATACTCAAAAATTTAATTGGTTTGTTTTTTTTTAAATTTTTTTCTAAGATTATCCTTCATTATTTTTAATTTTTTTAATGATAAAATGTTTTAATGTTTCCTTTTTTTATTTAATTTTTGGGTATATTCATGATCCACCTCAACCCACATCGGGACAAATACTCCAACAAAACACCGTCCACACGCTGAATTAAAAAATACCTTCCATTTCGTTTAGATTAAATAAATTTTAAAATAATTCTTTAGGGGTATACCTCTAAAGAATATAGTATTATACCCCCCCCCCCCCAGACCCAGTAGCCATTGAGTTCTAAAGATTTTAAGATAACATAATCCGACATAAGTCAAATTTATCATCTGTAAACGTAGGGCGATTTTTCAAACTTTAATGTGTGAACGGTGTTTTGTCGAATTTCTGGTACAAGCAAATTTTGTTGGACTTTTCAAGTCGGGGGTGTTGATTATAGAATTTCTAGGGTTAAATTTATTCTGAGGTATCGGTATTCTATCATCCCTTATTATTCAAAGTCACTAAAATATCAAAAATTTTAAAGGTTCGAGAAATATCCATTGCCAAATGTTGGGAATGTTGATTCAACATCACAAATTCCTTCAACAATATTAGAGAATCCTTGTAATTCTTATGCACTTCCAGTAAATAATGGACAAAATTTGACAAAAGAAGAAGAAAAACGTAAAATTTTAATATTGCCATATATGGATATTGGAGAACCAGATTGGCTTGTACACGGGTTACCAGAACGTGAACGTTATCTATTTCCTGATTTTGATTCTTTCTCATCATCATTTCAGTCATTAAAACAAAAATTTAAAGAAAGTGATAGAAATTGGCGACTTTAAAAAATTAAATTAAAAAATATTCTTTGACTTTCAATTTTTTCTTTTGCTTATTTTTTGTTTTTTCTTATATAGAAAATATTGATTTTATGAAAAAATTTTTTGTTGCTCATTTAAATGAATTTTAAAAATTGTTTTTTTTTCAAATGGTACACTAATTTTGGGAGAATAAAAATTTTTATGATAATTTAATGAAGATTTTGAGTGTTATATGGCATGATATTTAAGCCAAAAATTCTTAAAGAAGGGTTAAAAAAGCTAGAAAATTTACCTGAACTAAAAGAATGACCCGAAACTAACAATAAAAATTCCAACCGAAAAAACTTTCTCTTCATATGTAGTCGTTTCGCCAGTTAGTGCAAAAAAGGACATTTCGTCTCAATACAAAAATGCCCATCCCTTAAAAATGTTGCATTTCGTCATTCTCGGGTGTTAATTTTTGAATTTTGCTTATTTTAATTTTCTTATTCTCCTATATGCCATCAACGCCAAGTACTTCTATTGCTCCACTAACTAGTCAATATAGCTATCAATATAATTATTACGGATCTTATGGCACAGGTCCCGGTGATTCTCAACACCGTCAATTACACAGAATTTGGGAAACGGATGAAGAAGGGGAATTATTGGTTAATAAAAATGTTTCAAATGATCCACCACCAACAACAAATTTATCAGAACAACAATATATGTTTTTAGATGTTTATTTACCTAATGGTTTGTTATTACCTATACAATGCCAAACACATAGAACTATTGCTTTGTTAAAACAAGATGTGTTCTTTCAGGCTAGAAAGTAAGAAATTTTTGAGGGTTTGGGGAATGGGGGGGGGGGGGGGGGTCAGGCCCGTAACCAGGGGGTACCCTAGCCCCTCCCCCCTAAAAAAATCCTAATTACGGGCCTGAGGGGGCAATCCCGAAAATTCTCTTTTTCCTCATCCCCTTCCTTTTTCGTTCATTTTTTGAGAGGGGGTGATTTTTACTTTTCCAAGCCTTTGAGGTTGGCCCTCTGCATTAATATCTAAAATTCTATCAGGTATCCTTTGGGCGCTTCTCTCTCGGATATTTCCAACTACATTTTTATGACTATTGGTCTAGATGGTGCGCATATTCAGGTATATTAGAATATTTTTTATTGCTCCATAGCTCCTTTGTCCACAGTTTTTAGCCAAAAATTCAAAAATTTCATTTAAAAAATGGATTTGCGGATTTTTAATTGAGAATGCGGATTTTTTTATTTCGCTGACCAACTAGCAATTTTTTTAGTTATATGATGAACAAAAGCCAGTATCAAGTCTTCAAAATCTGTTCCTTCCTCTTTTGGTATTGGTCGAACCAGAAGGGAATAAAATGGAAAAAGAATTAAATCAACAAATTGGCTATATAATGGGCATTACTTTAATGGAACTTGAAAGAAAACTTGACAAAGAACTTCAAAACTTTCGATTAAAGTTATTCGAAACTTGTTTGGAGGCTGAACAGGAACGAGGAACTTACCAATTTTTACATTATGCATTTCCTGAAGGGCCACTTTTGCAACAACAATTACATCCTGGAGCTAATTCTTCACAATTTGGTTTTTAATTTTTTTTTGAGTTTTTCTAGAAATATTTTTGTGGACATTTTTATGGGGTTTTTTTAAAATTATTTCGATATTTTTTAAATTTATTTTTGTATTTTTAAATAAGAGACTGAATCCTTTTTTGAATTAAAATTATAGTTCTAATGTAATAGAGATTTTATCTTATCCGCAAAAATTTTACGGATTTCTGCAAATTTTTAGTCCTTAAATCATATCTCCAAAAGATGAAAATTCTCATCCTTTATTCATCTTTACTAATATTTAAATTTTTTAGGAACAATTGATCCGTCCGATCACCCACTCGAAATTGAGAGGAGAGCATTGGAGAAATTAAGACAAAAAATGCAATCATCTGATGCTTATGTTGAGGTTTTTTCTAATTTATTCAATTTTAAAAAATATTTTTTAAAAAGATTTGGTATGGAATACCTTCAACCAAAAATTCTCAGGAAAATCAAAAAGAAGTAGATTTTGAATATTCTGTTCGTATTCGCAATATTTTGGGGGCAACACCAGAAGATGTTTTGAGAGCTGCATTAAATGAATTTAGAACACAATATTCTTTAGATATTAGACAACCACATACAGAATTTATATTGCAAATAGCTGGACAGCAAGTTTATGTTACTAGACCGGATGTTCCTTTAACGCAATTTGTGGTGAGGATTTTTTAGATAATTTTAACATGAAAATTTTTTTCCTTTCATTCTTTTTTACAAAGATTTATTCAAAGTTAATCTTCTAAACTAATTTAGAGACTAGTTCGTCTTGTCTAATGTTTCTTCTTTTTTGATTTTAAGATCTTTTTCAATCTCCGCCCTGTTAAAAACTGATTTTTAAAATTAAATTTTAAAAATCGTTTTTCCTTAAATACACGTTCATTTTGTTTGAAAATTAGCTTCCCCTTATTTTTGCAAAATTTGTATTTTCTTTATTTTTCATAGCTTTTTCTTTACAATTTATATTTTTCAGTATATTCGTTCATGTTTTGAAAACTATCGAATTCCAAGACTAATAATCAGAGAGAAAAGGCTTGTTTTTATGGACTACCCGCCACCTCCCAAAATATTTGAGGTTTTCTTAAAATATTTTTTTCCTCTGTAAAATTTGTTTTTAGCCTTCCTATGTCCGTCGTGAAGTGCATAATCAATATTTAACAAATGAAACTTTAGCAAACGGCACCTCGACAGTTTCTGACGGTACTTCTCAATCATCTAGTGGAGACGCTAAACAAAAACTGAAAAAACTTTTTTGGGATCTGGATGAAAATTTGAGGTTTTTAATAATTTTTTGAATTTTCTAATAAAATTTTAGAATTCAAATCCATTCTGCTTCAAATATCACTGTCCAAGACAGTCGGGATCATTTATTTGTACGTGTTGCTGTGGCTGTTGGTAGACATGTTCTTGATGTAAAAGATTCAATTACAGTGACATCCTCAAATCCACGATGGGGACAGGAGGTAATAAATTTTTAATTTTAAACATAGCATTTTCGTCACACTTGGTGGCGTTTGTTTGTTTAAGTTATCCTTGAAAGTTCTTTTTTGGCATTTCAAGAATTTTTTGAGACCTCCATTATCCTTAAATCATTTTAAAATATTTTTTAATAAATTTTTTAGACATTTATTGACTTTGACATTTATCTGAAAGACTTACCAGAATCAGCTCAACTCTGTTTTTCATTAATATCAATTCACAATCCAAATAGCTCTTCATCAGATATTTCAAAAATTAATACTAAACAACAACAAAGGTCAGGAACTCCTACATTAAACACAGTTTCAACTTCAATTAATTGTGAATTAAATTCTTTGGGTTATGCTAATTTACATATTTTTGATTGGCGAAGTCGCCTTATTCAAGGAAAACAGACACTATTTTTGCGTCCATATGAAAAGGTTTTTAAAATTAATTTTTAATTATTAAAAATTTTTTTGAAGACTCGTTCTTCCATTTCTTCTCCTCAATTTGTCCATCTAGATAATGAGTATGGGGATGCTCTTTCAACTGTAACATCGAGGACTCCTCGTCTGGAAATTGAAATGCCGGAGGTTCTTTTTTAAATTTCTAAAGCATAAGGGATAGATAAAATTAATATTTTTTTGACTTAAAACTAATTTTTATTTTAAGTATTTTGGCGGTTCTACAATTATTGAGTATCCTCCAGATTTGGTTATTCAACGTTATATTTGTTGGTTAAAACAACACAGGCGAAAAAGAAAGTCTGATGAATTAAATAACAATGGATCGATTGATAAATATAATTCTGAAGATGATTTGGATGATAGTGACGATAATGTTGAAACAGATGAAGATGTGGAATATGGTGATGAATATGGCATTAATAAATTAAGAAAGATGACATTGGCACAAAAGCCGTTAATGACGGTATGTAATTTTTAAAAGATTTTTTGATTTTTTTGAGGAGGGGTGATTTTCCAAAAAAATTCTTAAATATTTCTTTTCATTCTTATTTTTTTAAAGCAAGGCGATGAACTAGAACATCTTCTTCGTCTAGGCCGTTCATTAGATTCAACTTTACTTACCTCAATAGATCAACGCTTCCTTTGGCATCGGCGCCGTCTTATTTGTCATCATTTTCCGCAAATGCTTCCTGTACTAGCTGATTGCGCTATTATTTGGCGAACTCGTGAAAATACTAGTGAATTTTATAGGTTTATATTTTATTAAGTGGAGGGGGGGGGGGGGAAGGTTTAAAGAATTTTTTAAATTTAGATTGCTAGCTAAATGGCCTCCACTCTATGTAGATACAGCAATCGAATTGCTGGATGGAAGATATGTTGATAGACGACTGCGAACTTTAGCAGTGAAACATTTAGATGATGCTTTGGATGATGATCAATTGCAACTTTATTTGTTGATTTTGGTTCAGGTTTTCTTAAATTTATTGCTTTTGTTACCAGTGCTTCGAAATTTCAAATTTGCTCGTACTCGTACTCGTACTTCGTACCACCTCTTTTTTTGGCCTCGTACTCGTACTCGTACCTCGTACCACCCTTATTTTTTTGCTCGTACTCGTACTCGTACCTCGTACCACCCCTATTTTTGGCCTCGTACCTCGTACTCGTACCTCGTACTTACTCGTACTTGAGAATAAAGCAAAAAATCGAAAATTTTTATAATTTTTTAAAGCCCAGGACATCTATTTTTAAATTTTAAGCGTTGTATTTGATGATTTTTGAATCTTTGATATATAAATCCTCCAATTTCTGTATAAATCCTCCAATTTCATCAATTTTCTGCGCCGCAGGCGAAATTTTTGAGCATTTTGGAGTGCAAGGAGAAATATTTCCTCTAAGATGGGTCGCGCTACCCGGAACCCGACATTTTTTCATCCGATTTTCATCTTCTTAGATGGAACTTTTATCTTTTCCACCGAACTTTTCACATTTTAATCTCCTGATACCCTTCTTAATCTCAAATCCCTTTTTTTCAAAAATTTTGAGAATTTTGGATGTCCTTAAGTCAGATTTCTTCTATTTTTTGCGCCGCAGGCGAAAATTTTGAAAAATTTTGAAGGCCATGAAGCCAGAGTTCTTCCATTTTTCACCGCCGGAGGCAAAAATTTTGGAATTTGGAAGTCATTAAGACAACTTTCTTATTTTTTCAGCGCCGCAGGCGAAAATTTTAAAGAATCCGGCAGGTCGTAGACGAAAAAAAGTCACTTTTTAGAGGTACAATGAGAATTTATAAGAATTTTAGAGGGCCAACAACCGATAATTTTTCCATGTAAAAATAGAATAATTTTTAAAACAAAATTAAACTTATAAAATGAGTTATTTATGTAAAGAAGAATATTAAATTTCATTGTCCAGTAAATAGGAATCGAATCCAATATTAATGTGGTGCAGCCAAGCACCTTCACCACTCGGCCACTCGCTCATATGATGAAAAATAAAAGGAACAAAATATATTTCTTTCAATTTTCCTATTAACACCAAGTACGAGAAGTACGAGCTCGTACTTAGGCCTCGTACTCGTACTTTTCACTTTTTTTTGGCCTCGTACTCGTACTTCGTACCTGCCCAATTTTTTTGCTCGTACTCGTACTCGTACTTCGTACCAGGTACGAGTACGAGTACGAGGTACGAGTACGAATTTTGGTACGAGCTTCGAAGCACTGTTTGTTACCTTACTTAATTTCAAGGCAATTCGTTTTGAACATCACGCTTTCTCTCCTTTGGTTAGAATGTTGTTGCGTAGAGCATTAATGGATTATCGAGTTGGTCACACACTTTTTTGGTTGTTACGAGCGGAATTAGCGCATTTACTCGCTTTTGGAAATGTCAATCAACCAACAAATATCGGATTAAAAAACTCAATGGAAAGAAGTTAATTTTAGACTTAAAAAATTTTTCTTTAAAAATTATTTTAGATACTGGCCCACAACTTTCCCCATTATTTTTACGTTTTGCTTTAATGTTTGAAGCTTATTGCCGTGGGAATAGTGCCCATCTGGATTCAATGTGTAAACAAGTTGAGCTTATCAGCACTTTAACTACTTTAAGTACTGGAATATGTGCAAATAGTAATCGAGAAGCTGCAAATAAAGTATTTTTTAAAAGGTTTTGTTTAAGTATTCGATTTTTATTTAAGAAGCTCCAAATTGAATTGATGGCACGTAGAGAGCAAATGCAACATATGGTGTCTCCAGTAAATGCTACTTATCGTTTGGGAGAGTTAATGTCTGTAAATTAGAATTTCTTTCACAAATTTTAAGTTTTTAAATTTTAGTATTGAGGAGTGCCGTGTTCTTGGGAGTGCAAAACAACCTCTTTTCCTTACCTGGAGAAATCCTGAAATTTTGGCAAGATTAACTTCCCCTACTCATCAATTGATTTTTAAATGTGGAGATGATATGAGACAAGATATGCTGTAAATAGTTTTTTCTATAAAAATTTGAAAATTAAAATTTCTCTCTCTTAAAAGTTCTTTGCATGTAATGCGGATTATGGATGCAAAATGGAAAAGTCAATTACAACAAGATTATTGCATGACGTTATATGAAGTCCTTCCAATGGGGAAAAATGTTTTATTTTATTTTTTGATTAAATTTATTTATTTTTTCTTTATAGATTGGACTAATACATGTTGTCCCGGATTGTCAAACTCTTTTTCAAATTCAATGTGAAACAAGAAAAACAGCATCTCTAAATATGGATATTGCTCTCCTAAATAAATATATTTACAAGAAGTGTTGTTCTAGGGATAGTAAAAAGTATTTTTTATAGATAATAATTGACAAGGGAATATGCAGAAGGCCTCCTGAAATAAGAAATAAATTAAATTTTTGGGAGGAGAATGACAAAAAATGAGATTTTTTGCCTAGCATAAGTTTTTTTCTCTTGCGGTGAACAATTTTCTTCTTTAGACTAAAAAAAGGTTTCCTTTAAGGAATTTTGGCTTCTTATTGTTAGTCTTTGGATTTAATTTTCTCAAAAAAAAACAAATTTACCTATTATCCCTCTACTCTAAAAATCTTTTTTAAATTCGCCCTTGCTTAAAAATATTAGAAAAATAACCTTATAATTTTTCTAAAGATATTTGGAATGCGTAGATCGCTTTACTATGTCCCTTGCCGGTTATTGTGTAGCTACCTACATTCTTGGTATTAAAGATAGACATCAAGACAATATAATGCTTGCAAACGATGGAAGGGTTAATTTTTTGAAATTTTATTTTAGAAATAAATTTTTAATTTTTAAAGATATTCCACATTGATTTTGGACATATTTTGGGACATACAAAAAGAAAATTGGGAATTAACCGTGAGAGAACAGATTTTGTTTTGACTGATCATTTTCTTTATGTAATTTCTCGAGGAAAAACAAATTTTAGACAAACATATGAATACAATAGGTTAGAGAATTTTTTCTTAATATTTATGGACATCGTTTGGCCTCACCTAAAATGCTTATTGGATTTAATTTTCTTTAAAAATTTTTAGTTTTCGTGATGAATGTACAAAAGGTTTTCTATCATTACACAGTCAAGCTCGTTTCTTCATTGCATTGTTTCGAATGATGTTTGTTTTTTATTTTTTGAATAATTATTTAATAATTAAAAAAGGTGTTGTATGGGATTGCCAGAACTTAGCCCTGTAAATGTTGATTTTCTTAAACAAACATTAATGTATGATAAAGAAAAACGTGAAGAAGCTAGGGCTGCTTTTGAACAAATATTTGAGGATGTAGTTAAAGGAGATTGGTCAATACATTTGAATTGGTTTTTTCATTCAGTTCGGCATATGTAACGGTTATATATTCTTTCCAGAATTTGCTTCCTTTTTTTATTTTAACAAATTTCTATTTTCTGTATAATAATTTGGTAGTAAGCTATTAGTTTTTAGAATTCTTTTATGTATATTTTGTAATGATCAGTTTAAATTAATCCAGACCTTGATTTTTTCCTTTATTCACAGTCACGGTCAAAGCATTTTTCGAGGTTCCTAGATTTTCGGTTGAGAAACTGGTCAGGAAATCAAAGTCATTTTATTAAAAATAATTGGTTTTCATTAATAAAAATCCTATAAAATTTTTAGAGATTCTATTCAAAATTCTTTTACTTTAGAGCTTTTACATTCTTTAATGAACTTTTTATTGTTAGACCTCATATTCTATTGTGATAATATTGAATTTTCCTAGAATTTTATTTTTAACCTTTTAATATTTCCTTTATATATTCTTAGAAAAATCTTTTAATGTTCTCATTATAAACTTTACAAAAAGTAAAATTTTAACAATAAACATTTGAGATGTCAAAGGGATGACTGTCAAAGTCAATAAATATAAAAATTAAAAATAAGTGAACTATAGAATCCTGAATTCAATAAAATATCCAAATTTTAAGAATTTCTGAAAAATCATTCCAACATCTAACAAAAACTAGGCAAACCATAATTTTGAGGCTTAAACTCAGTCAATGACTCCAAGACTTCTACCAAATTTGGGTGAGCACGAAGTTCATCCTCTTCCCAATTGGGAGGCAAAAATTCGGGTTGCGGAACCATAATTACCTTGATAATTTTTAAATTAAATTTTGGTAATATTGTTGTTACGATTTTTCAAAATCCGCAAATTTTATACGAAAATATTTAGGTAATAAAATTTAGGGATTTAAGAATTCGTTGAAATTTTCTCAATTTCCATTTCTCAATCTAAGCAAGGTTTTGGTGATTTCATAAACTAAATAATTTTTTCGAATCAAATTCTTTCTGAATTACAGATAAAATTTGCGGATTTCAGGAGCATAAGAACAAATTAAAATTTAATTTAAAAGAAAACTAAACTGTACATCCAGCATCCAAAGCACTTCGAACACCATTAACAGAATCTTCAAAGACCAAAACATTCTCTGGGCTTGCAGGGCCTCCATCATCAAAACGTTTCATTAATTTTAGATAAGGTTCTGGATGTGGCTTGCAATAAGTTATTTCTTAAAAAATATTTTAAAAAATTTTTTTTATTTTAGAAACCTGGGTCACTGCCACAAAGAAGTCGAAGAGGAATTTTCTCTAACCAATTAGAAATTTCCGTGTTTGAAGTTTTCTGTTTAAATTCGAGAGCATCAGAACCTGTACATATAGCCAATGGAATGCCGCTTTTGTGTAAATGGTCAACAAGGGGAATAGCTCCCGGCAATACCTTTGAAAATAAGTTGAAGCTCTGATTAAGTTGAAACCCCAAAAGTACTTTCTCCCTTCTTCCTTTTAACTATTTTTTGAAAATACTATTTTTGAAAGGGATTCGAAATCCGGTTTGGGATTTGATCTTTTTCAAAATCTGAACTCAGATTCTAATTAGCATATTTTTTTTACCCTAGAAAAATTCTTTCGCCTATTTCTAAATTTTTTTCGAAGAAACCCCTATTCTCCGGGATTGCCAAAAGCTTTGATTAAATTTTTTAAAACCCCCAAAAGGACCCTCCTTCCAACTTTCAATTATTTTTTGAAAGAAAAACAAGTACCTCAGTCTCAGCTATAAGCAATTCTGCCAGTTTAGCATCATATGCTTCCATATATTTTTCAATTCCTTTAGGGTCATCCAATCCGAAAGATTTCAGCAAAGCTTCAACAGCTAGAGGTTTAGCTTTCCCCATCATTAACGCCTTTCTTTAATTAGAAAAAGTTTTTCCAAAGATTAATTTAATTTATACTCAATATTTGTAAAAGTCTTTCCATGTTGTTTCTTTAATACTTGTTCATTTGCTTTAGAGTAGAGTCGTTCAGTGTCAACAAGAATACCATCAAAGTCAAAAATAACATGTGTAACTGATCCTCTAGAAACAAATTTTTCTTCAATATCGTCAATAAGTGAAGACATAATTTTTTTGTTATCTGGATAAAATTAAAAAGAGAAATGAACGCTTTTCACAATTATTTTATGTGGCGGTTACTCTTTAAAAGCCCCAAAATATCAACACTAAGAATTAATGTGTTCTCGTCAGACTTTCTTGGCCAAGATCTTGGGGGCTTATCTAGTTTTTGTCATGGGGTAAAATCGTGATCACGACTTTTTGAGGCTCGACTTTTTCGAAAAATAAAAGTGAGAAAACGATAGAGGTATTTTATATATCATTTTACAAAGATATAAATTTATCATTATTTTAAGTAGTGAATTTTTAAATTTTATTAAAAATGTTAGTGAACATAAAAAAATTGAAAAATTGTTAAAAAATATTTTTTATTGCGAGCATTCACTTCTTTTTGCCTAAAAATGGCGGAATTGTACCCAAACATCGCCCAGGCATACAATTTAAGCCTAAAGGACAACCAATACCTCCACATGCAGAAACTAAAAATAGACAAATTTAAATGATATAATTTTTGGGGAAACAAAAATCAACAAACATGAGAACGAATTCATTCCAAAATATGGAGAATAGAACCCTCCCAATCCATAACCATAAAGATTGCCACGCCCGTACGGACTCCCGTATCCAACTTCTGGGTATCCAATATTCTGAAATATACACCTGCCGGCCTGGCAAATTTGACCGCTATAACAGTCTACAGTATCAGCACATACTAAAGTAGATTATTTAAAGAGTATTATTTTTGCAAATCTACATTTACTCGCGGCAGCATAGAGGCCATAAGCCCCATTGTTAAGTCTCCCTCCATAACCTCCACCAAGTCCGTAATCCATAGGCTGACAAATGCCTGCAATTAAGGTTCACGGCTTATGAGACCGCCGGTTATCCGGAACCGATATGCGAACCGAAAATTTTCGGCTATCCGGTCTTTCTTCGGTTTCGACTTATCCGAAATTTACCTGCAATGCAATATTGCCCCAACGGACACGAAATAAAACGACATGTATTAGGCCCATATCCTGTATATACAAAAGATTCTTTAAATTTTTTAACTCTTTCAAAACCAGCCTCGTAAAGCTCCCAAAAAGTTGCTTCCATAGTAGCTTTGTGCCAAACTAATTTTTAAATTTAAACCCCAATTTTATCCTACTAAAACTTGCCTAATATGAAGAATGTAACTTAACGAGAACAGTAAAGTCGAAGTAAACATTGCCAAAGGGAATGGGCTGAAAACAATTATTTTTGGAGTAAAATGGGGGAAAGGGATCAAACAATTCCCTCTCTTCACTACATTTAATAAAAATTGAATATTGCGCAACTGTCCCTCAACAAAATTTTATATATTATCAGCAGACAGAACCGACTAGTTGACTAGAAACGAGTATTTTTTAGATGACTATTAAAAAAAGTAAATGTCCACTTCCGATTTTGTGGCCTAATTTTTGGTGTAATTTAGTAAAAAAATATTGGAACTTATGCAGTTTGGGTACACAACCCATTTATTCGCGAGATAACCCTCATTTATTAGGCGAATTGACTAACCAACCCGTTTATTCGCGAACTAGCAAGAAGCCTATATTACAGCGTACTAAACAAAGCAGCTCTCGACTCTTGCGAGACGCGTGCTGGTTAATGCCGCACGATCCGAGGAATTATGCCCAAACGTCTTTCCGACCTCAATATGGTTACTTTGACCATTTTTAGCTTGCGAATAAATGGGGTGTGTACCCAAACTGCATAAGTTCCAAAATATTTGTAGAAAAATATAAATTTAATTCACATAAAAATGAGAAAAAATTTTTGAAAAAAAATTAAAAATCAGTAAAACAAAAGCAAAGTTCAATTTCAAGATTCTTTTGACTTGCTTCGCTGCTTCGAAACATTCTAAAAAGTTTAATTAGATTGATGTAGATAAAGATTAAAATAGGTGTTTTCTGTTGTAAAGAGAGAATTTCTTAAATATTAACTGATCACTGGCACCAATTTTTCTGATAACTTTAAAAAAATGGGAAAAGGTACCGAAAGTAGTTCCGCAGGGAAACTGTGCTTTTCTCTCCAAACACAATTCAAACAATAAGTGTTTTTATAGAAAAGAGAACATTCCTAAAAAATTGAAATTATTTTTTGTCAAAATCCCTCAATTTACCTCGTCCACACAAATTTGTTGATTACAAATATAACAAGTTGCACCAATAACAAGAAAATCATCAATTGCATAATCACGCTGAGATTTGTGGAAATCTGGGGGCTCAAAAGGATTTCTCATATAAAAACACTCTTCTCTACACCCAGCCTTCTCCAGTTCCAATTTTCCATATCGACATTTAACTGAAAGTTTGCAGTTTACACAAAAGAAATCTGCTGAATTTGAAGGATATTCTGATGAAGTTCCAATTATTGCGCTTAAATATTAAAAAAACCTTTGTAGGTTTTTAGAATAACTAACTTTTCAGCAAATTTAGAGCCCATATTTAAAGTAAGTTGCCTTTTAAAATTTATCTAACTTAAAATAAAAAAGAACGAGTTAGTAAATTATTCGATTTAGACAACGAGAAGTGGGTACAGCCTGAATAGTCGCCGGCCGAATAGTCGCCTAGCTTTTTAATTAAATATCATTACTAAAGTTTAACTCCAAAACATCAATATTAAAATAGTTAGTTTTTATCTCTCTTTCGATTAGATAACCGTTTTCTATTTTGTTCGTATCAATTTAGCCTAGTAAGGATATATAACCTTTAAAAATTAAAGAAAATCTGTCAAAACTACTCCAAATTAATAAGTAGAGTTAGGATTTATATGGACAATCAATCAAAGAATATGGACATATAATATGGACTTAATTTTGTCTCTAAAAATGTCTTTTATTTTTGATTAAAGACAATAGTTTCATTTAAATTTTATACAATTTTTGAATTTTATTGAAAAAAGAATAATTATTTAATATCAATTAATATCCCCATATGTTTTTTTGTTAATTTCCCTTTATTAAAAAAAATAAACCCCAAAATCACAATTAAAATATATTTTAATTATTTCCCTTTGTTCCACACTTTTTTGCATTTAGATTTTTTCAAGTTACCAACAACGAGCATTTGGCTTTTTAAGACAGTCCTTGCATTCTTGCCCATTTGGATCAACATGACATGGAGGACTCTGTGAAGGTCAGCTTTGTAGAACACGGTCTCCTTTTGGACATACAATATTTCCAACCAAAAATAATAAAGTAAATATTATTAAATAAATTGATTTCATAGAAAACATTTCTTTTTTTTTGGAATTAAAATTAAAATTAAAATATTTTATTTTGAGAATGGGGGTAAATTTAAATTATTTAAATATACTTCGAAATATATTCGGTGGTTTAGATCTATTTATTTACTCAATTGTATTCCATAATACTTAAATTCAAAAAAATTCTTTTTACGTGAAAGGGTTTTTAAATTTCCAAGTTGGAGAAGCTTTTTCCTTCATACTTCATCTATGAGGGGTTATAATTGTTTAATTAACCGTTGAAAACGTGGATTAAATATTAAAATTAATTTAAAATTTATTTTCACGAGTTTTGGAAATAGAAAAAATAAATTTAAAAATTAAAAAAATTTCTTTAATTGTTGGCAAAATTGATTTAAATTTAATTCGATATTATTTTATTAAGAAAAACTCTCAAAAAAGCTATTATAAAATTTAGTTAGGTAGTTCTTTTGTTGTACCTACGCTAACTAAAAGTTAAATTTTTAAATCTATTTTTATTAAATCATAAGAATATTTACTTGGAATTAACGAACACAACGATAAAAAATACAAAAATTAAAATAAAACTTCAAAAGTTATTCGGATATTCCAAATTTAATTAAATAACAGTCATAAGGAGGTATTATGTCAAAGGCTTTAACTAAGACAATATCTTTTTGTTTTCCAATGAAAATTCACTATTTGAATATTTTCATAAGTACAATAAAGGGTTCCGTGACTTTAACGCCGAGCGAAAAATCAAAAATACAGAACTACCCCAAATTGATATTAATAAGTAGGGTTAGGATTTTTAAACACGCAGAACTTTGGTTTGTACCAAGATGTCTTTGATTGATAGTCCATAGACTCCATAGACTATCAATCGAAGACATCTTGGTACAAACCAAAGTTCTGCGTGTTTAAATCTAACAAATAATGTAATGATGTTAATTATTTTTGTTTATTTGCTGAACAATCCTTTATGAATTGATGGAAAAGTAGGCTGTAAATTTTAATGAACAGAAAAAGTTATCAATATAAAATTTGTAAAATTATTTTTCTTTGCTTTTTTTCTTTTCATATAAAATCAAAATTTATATAAAATTTTTAATTCAATTATTCCCTCATCAAGTATCCTTTTTTGTTAAAGCATCAATAGAATAATTTCCTGGTCCATGAACAAAAATAAGTAAAAGTCCCCCAATAACCGAAAAAGTTTGGAAAAAATCGAATCTTGCAAATTCTTTATAGGGGCTGTCTTTTGGCAATTTCCACCAGGCATTTAAATTAAAATTAATAAATAAAAGCCATATAGCAAGTAAAAGTGATGCTTGGCGTGCTTTAAAACCGGTAATGACCAAAAACATGAGAAGAGAAGCAATAAAAAGTTCGATCTAATAAAAAGTTGATTAAACCCGTACGCTTTGTACAAAAGATAGACAGGTTGAGAAGAAAGCCCGGGTATTGGGTTCGGATCGGAAAAAAGTCCGGGTTTTAAAAGGGGAAAAAGCGGGCCGGGTTTCGGGTCGGGTTTTGGAAAATCTTTCAGATCGGGTTCCGGATCGAGAAAAAGTCTGGGTTTCGGGCTTCGGGTAACCCGTCCCATCCCTCCTTCGTACAAGAGAGGGAAGAATAATCACTCTAAAAATATATCTCTCTAAATATTTAAGATCAAATAGATTCTAGTTTTTTTTTGCTTTGCACTGGTCAAAAAAGAATTCATTTCTAACTACTAATAATACCATTTTTAAGTGATTATTACTATCCCAACGAAGAAGAGAAATAAACATTAGAGGTAAAAATATTCTCCCAGCAAGCATTATAAAAATCTTGGGTTTGCTGTCTTTTTGAAATTGTAATTGTATAATTCCAGCCCCAATAGTCGGTTGTTTTTGTTTATTATTATTTAAAGATTCAGCTATCAACAATAAAAGCCCTCCGATAATAGCTATATTTCTACAAAATAATTTATTTTATTAGACTTCAAAAGGGAATAGACTAGACTTTTATTTAATGAATAAGCTAAAATGATAGGTACGGAGAACTTTTTATCAGTACCGTATTACGGTACGGGAAAATAAATTTTATCGGTCGGTATTCCATACCATACTACCGATTTAAAATCTTATAGATACCGAAAAATATGGTACAGCCCGATCTCTAGTTTATATTCTGAATTCTAAATGTACTTATTTTCCCTTATATTGGACAGCCATTAAAGGTTCCTTAAAGGTTTTTAGATTTTCTTAGGATATAAATTTAAAATTAATTTTTACACTGATAAGAAGTGAAGATCGAAATGAAGGCCATACAGGATAGTATGATAAATAACCATAAAAATCAGAAAAATATAGTGATGTTCGAGACTCTCGGTCTCGACTCTCGAGTCGAGAAATTTCTCGGGTTTTTTGAGCTCTCGGTCTCGGTCTCGGTGTTTTGGTCTCGGAAAACGAGACTAAATTTACACCCCTAATGACGGAAATTTTTTGAACTTTACTCGGACCTTGCGTACTTTGATATTAAAATTTTTAAGGAAAAGTCTCCAAAATTCCCAAAATTTTGCCTGCGGCGCTGAAAAATGGAAGAAATCTGGCTTCTTGAGCTCCAAAATTCTCAAAATTTTCGCCTGCGGCGCTGAAAATGGAGGAAATTTGGCTTCTTGAGCTCCAAAATTCAAAAAATTTTCGCCTGCGGCGCCAAAAATGCAGCAAAAATTTGAATTTAATAAGATTAAAGGATTAGATTTTGTGGTTTGTGGTATATTAGATACTGTGGATTCTGAAGGATAAAATTTAATATCAAGGGATGGGTGCATCGATGGATCAAAAAGATATTGTTGGATTTGTAGGGATATGGAAGGATATGAGGGGATTTTAAGAGATTAATGTGAATATCATTGAATATATATTGTGGACAAGTGGATTCAAGCGAGTATGGGGATTTTGAGGTATATCAAGGGATTTTTGGGGATTAGGAGGGACATCAAGTGATATCCCTCTTAATCTCTCGGTCTCGACTCTCGGTCTCGACTCTCGACTCTCGTTTTGGTCTCGGTCTCGGGGTTGATTCTCGGTCTCGGTCTCGACTCTCGACTCTCGGGATTTTTTGACTCTCGAACATCACTAGAAAAATACAGCTTGGAATTACAATTCTTCTTATAAAGAGAATTAAAATACAAGGGATTATTTGTCCAAGAATTCCAAAAGTAATTAAAGCATCTGCCGGTCGCCATGTAGGTAAATTGGCCCAATAAACAGAAATATATCGGTGTTGGTCCTTTAAAATTAATTAAATAATAAAATTAAATTTAAAGACCTTCCATTGAAGTCCAACACTAATTCCATCATCAATAAACATGCCAAGCATGCATATTCGCGCAATTATTAACAAAATTGTTTGATAATTATTTGACAACTTAAAGTTTTTAATTTAAAGAGGCACTAAATTGTTTAGGCGGCAGTTAATAGGAAAAAGGAAAAAGCTAAGTTTTTGTCTCGATAGTTTTGACAACAAGGTCTATCTATCTAGGTACATGGTCGCAGCTTCAAGCCCACCAAATTTCTGATAGATTACGTTACTCCAGAGAAGTTCAAATAACCTACCAGCTGTTTAATTTCAGTATTTCCCAATTTATTCATTTTTTATTTTAAAAATTTTGATAAAAAATTTTGTAGAATTATTTTCCTCTAACGGCCTTAAACGGGTGTAATTGTTTTAAAAATTAAATTTTTATTTTTCACTAATGAATTAAAAAAAGATACTATTAAAAAGGAGAATAAAAATAAATTTTATCTAAAAACCTGTTTAATTTTATCTAAAAGAAATATAATTACTTTAATAAAATTATCTTTGTTTAAGACAAAAATTTTTAATTTTTATTGTGGAGAATTACTCACCTCCTAGAGAGGTCTGTACAGCATCAAAATCGAAACTAGTCCAAATATCGGAACTTGAAACTAGCAAAATTTTAATTGATTTTTGGAATTCGGTAGGAAAAAGTCGAAATTCATCCAACTTAGCTCTTAGTAGGTCGAGAAGAAATAAAAATAAAAAATTTACAACAGGGTGCCCGTTTTACCTAATTTATAAGGGATTTTCGTTATTTTTTCATATTGAAGTAGCAAGACTTTGTAAAATACCTATTTATCACAAAGGCTTAAACTAGTTTCAAAGCCAAGAATGCGGAAAAAAAAGAAAAACCTCACGCTTCGAGCGGGCTGCGTAACCTTGCCGCTGACGCCACACTGGGTCTGGGACCGTTACTTACCCTATCCCTCTAAATTTCGGAAAGTTATAGCCAATTTTTAAAAATTTCGAAAAAACAGTTATAACTTTCCGAAATTTCGAGGGTTAGGGCAAGGAATGGTCCCAGACCCAGTGGGCGTGTCCCCGATGCAGTGTTCGCTACGGTAGAAGCGAGCACGACCGCAGCGAAGCATAGCAAATTCAACTTTCTGACAATAATGACGTTATTTTTTTTCGATGTTTTATTATTCGGCCATCAATTGTTTCGATATTTAAATTTTTTTGATCGATATGTTCCGATAAATATCGAAAAAAAATATCGAAAAATATCGATAAAAAACTGGATTCTTTGATATTTTACTTTAAAAATTATTTTAGGAATAATAGATTATAAAAATGAATTTAGTTATTTATAATTTTTATTTTTCATGTAAAAGAATTCAGATTTCATAAAAAATTTTATCCTCTAAAACGCAATAATCCACCCAAATCATTAATGCTCCAAGGCCTGTGTTGCCCACAACGTTGGCAAGTACATGTTACTGTAAATAGTTTCTTTAATTATATGTACATATGTATATATTTTAAGTAGGATTATCGGTTTCACCAAATTTCGATTCGAAAATCTGTCCGACTCGAAAATCTGTCAAGGATGAGAGGATATCTGGGATTAAAGTGGATATAGCAGGATTTTCGATATCAAGTTGGGAAATTGGGCATTTGAAGCCTAATTATAACTAATGGTACTTTATGGATATACCACCCTCCTATTTTGAGTCTCAGAGTTTTTCCCTTTTTCCTTCCTAAATTTCTCTCCGTTTCCCAGCGGAAAATTAAATGAGTGCATTATTTAAAAAAGTGGCATTAGTACTAGTGTTTCACCGGAACCGAAATTTTGACCGGAACCGGAACCGGAACCGGATCCAATTTAAGTTCCGGTTCCCGGAACCGGAACTTTTCAAAGTTCCGGCCCGGAACCGGAACCGGAACTTTTAAAAAAATTTTTGCTAGCACATTTTAAAAAATTTTTATTTTAAGTAGGGGTGTGGTTTCGCCAAATTTTTCGATTAAATTCTGCCAAATTCTTCTGTTAATTGAAACGAAAAAAATCCAAGTTTTGGAAGACCAAATCCCTAGCTATTCAATCCCTGATATCTAACTTGCACAGCTCATTCCCTGGACATCACACCCAAATCCCTCTATATTACCTATAACCCCTTGAACTCACATAATGTAACTCAAAATCCACCTTCATCCATCCAAATCCTTCGATTTACCATACAACTTCCCTTCATAGCGCCGCAGGCGAAAATTTGGGATTTTAGGTGAACCAAGGATACAAAATTCTTCCTTTTTAAGCGCCGCAGGCGAAAATTTTGAGAATTTGTGTGACCAAGTAGCTAGATTTCTTCCTTTTCTGGCGCCGCAGGCGAAAATTTTGAGAATTTTGGAAGGCCAATCGGGGAAAATATTGCAAGGCCAATCCATATTTCTTAAAAAAACTAATCCTTAGGGGTGTAAAAAAGTTCCGGTTCCCGGAACCGGAACCAAAAAAACACCGGAACTTTCCGGAACCGGAACCGGAACTTCCGGTGAAACTCTACTTATTACATATTTAGGAAATCTCAGAGACTCAAAATAGGGGTGGAGGGTGGTTATCCATAAAGTACATAACTATAATTATACCTCCATAACAGGCTCCACCACAAGAACATCTCGGCCATCCACAAAACATATCCCCAGTAAACCGGTTGCATGTCCATCGCTTATTACGTTCATGCAAACCTTCCTTTAGATCAACATCTATTATTTTTAGATATTGTAAGGCGGATATCATCCTGAAATCACGTGAAGAGCAATGTCGCTCTAAACTTTGTGCTAAGTAGCGGAAGTTTGTAGGAAGGTGCAAAGAATATTACAAACGGCCATTCCCAGAGTTATTAGCCGCCCATTGTCTAAGCTTAACATCGCCACTAACTTATCCTTGGGAAAGCAATAAGGAAGTAGGCTGGTGCATATAAGCTCTAATGGAATAGGCAAAGGGAGATCACTTCTTCATTCATTCAACAGAGTTGCCGGCCGGCCAATCCATCCTTGAAGGGAAGAGCGCTCTCCCTATATTCCCCCACTGCGATTCACCTATTTCTATACTCTGCGGAGTTCACACATGATTGCAACATGCGCGTCTCTGCTAAACATCAACTAATAAACGAGGCACTGGGGAACGGGACCAACCGCTTTACTGGTAGCACCGGATGGTTCCTCACCTTTTGCCGTAAAATTTGAGTTAAGAATAGGTCGGGGAATTTTTAAAGATGGATTTTTATAATTTTTATTGTGCACTCAAAATCCGCGGTTTAATTTAATTTTGATGAATGAATAATTTTAAAGAATAATATTTTTTGCGCTCCAAATCCATGGTCCCCCATTTTTATAATAGAAATTAATATTTGAATGAAGATTTTAGAATATATAAGGGGGTTAATTTCAAAGTGATCTATCCTCTGCGGAGGCCATTTATGTTAAAAAATTATTTTTTTATAATCAGTAAACCCCATTTTGATACTAGATTAATATTTGAATGAAAATTTTAGAAAATATAAGGGGTAAATAAAGTGATCTAACCTCTGCGGAGGCCATATAAATTTATAAAATAGCAAAAAATAAAAGGAATACAATTAAATCGATTAATAATTAATTCAAATGAAATAGAAAAATATAAATTTTAATGAAAAGTATTCCTATCCTCCGAGGAGGTCAAATAATTTTAGAAAAAACAGGAAAAATAGTTTCAAATAGAAAATCAAAAAAAATTGGCTTATCATTATTCTTGGGGATTTTATTTCATTTCCATACTTAAAAATGCTGCGGCATTCGTTAACGCTATTTTTATGAACTTTTTCATTTTATCTTTATTAATTTTTTTTAATTGTTCTTTGTTACTTTATTGCAAATGCATCTCGTGACTGTCAACAAATTGAATGATTAACTACATATTTCTCAATAAGATGCTCTAATTATGTCAATCAAACTTGTTCTGCACCCCACGGGGTTTTCAATACTTATCATTCTTACTACGAGCATCTCAAAATGGAAATTTTCTTTAAAACTTCTCATGAAGTTCAACAAAGGTAAGTAGAATTTAAGATATTTCTAATATAATTGATCTTTAACTTTCATTAGCTACTTAATTCGAATTTAGACAAGAAAACTCTTAGAAAAAAAAATTCCTTAACAATAGAAATTTTCTCAAAAAAAATTATTTTGTCATAAAAAGAATATGAGAAAAGTTCATTTTATTATTACACATTCTGTTCTTCAACTATTGATTCTCCATTTATTTTTCTATTAAAACATAAAAATTCACTTCCTTAAAGAACAGATAAATTTTAAGTAGCTGATATGCACAAAACCCTGCGGGGTTCAATTATGTTAAATTTATTTTAATTAATTTTTGACTCATTAAACGCCTAATTAAATCTTTATTGTTTAAAACCTTACAAAAAAAGGAAATTTAAAAAAAAAAGAATTTCCTTTATTTTGAATAATTTACCTGCGGGGTCCAAAAAAACTAATTCTTTTAAACAAATCCACCCTCCTTAAAATCTCTGTTACATCGCTCATCTCCCTTAAAGATGAGCGATGCATTCTTAAAGGCTTTTTAAAAATCGATTCTGCTTTTATCGATAATGCTAAATCTGAACTTTCCAAAAAAACATATGGTTTACAATGTTTTATAACCTGCGGGCTTCTCAGAATGAAATAATATCACAAATTTTTCCCTAAAATTTCAGATTGAAAATTTTATTAAATATGGGATTTTGGGATTTTCTGATTATAATTAAATTACACGTTAAAAATTTTTGTATATTTTCATATTTCTAAGTGTCTTTCTCACATAATCTCCTTATTTAATTTTAATAGAACCTTGTTTCATTATGATTTGAGGGAAATTAGAAAATTTATTTAAGTAAAACTTAAAAAAATAATAATTTTAATGACAAACAATGTAGGTTTCATAAAACGTTAAAAAATTTTCGGATGAAATTAAATAAATTTTTGATTCGTCAAAAAAACGAAATCAAAAAAAGGACAAGCGAGAGCGAAATAAATGAAAATTAGCCCAGACTTCATATTATTCTACAAAAAAAGCAAACTGGAATGAGTCA